GTAGGTTTGTTCGAGAAAAACAATATTCGGTGTTATCTTAGTGTGAGTTATAACTGGGGATTTTACTGCTACATAATTCATTCTAGGATGTTTTCAGGTGTCCATGTTCACACTTTGAACATATAACGAATAAGTTAATACAATGACTTTCAACATTGGGTCAACACCAATTAGAGTAGGCTGTTTATATGTTTATACTCGGGAAATTTATGAAATATACCAGTATTCATTATAATCAAATAACATAATTTATAAATATTACCACTCATGGATCAAGCAGGATTGTACAGACATTTATTTATCTGGAGTGATCTGTGAATACCTACAAAAATTAACATGAAAAAGTTTTCAAACCTAGTGAAACGTTGTTATGTATAAAGTTACAATATTTCGGTACAACGTGTTGCCATCAACATTCATGTTAGAGTAGATCGAGTTCAATCGATCATATCCACGTCCTGAACAAAAACTTAAGTGATTGGTCCTTGAGATTTTAATATATGCCATTTGACTGTAAATCTGAATTTTTAAACTTCTTTTTTTTTCCAGCTAAAGGAGACGAGGTTGCAGAGCGTTACTGTTTCGGGGAGTTGGGATGCCTGGAGACAGGCAGCGACTTCTATCACCCAAAATACCGGCCACTCAATCTCCAACCGGAGTCGAGAGAGACCATCAACGTCCTCTTTACTATCTACTCTAGGCAGGACCTGCTGGGTGTAGTGGTGTCCGCCCAAGATGTCCAACAGGTCCTTAAATCTTCCTTTAGGCCCAACAGAAAGACGAAAATCATCATCCATGGGTATCTCAATGGTCGGGACATGCCTTGGTTGACGGTAAGAACTGCTTACCGACCTTTTGTAAATCTTATAGTATTTTAAGGTACACTTGTGTATCCTACACTCTTAAGAACTTCAAGGAACAGATATAACTGAAGCATTATCCCATCTGTATGGGCCACAGTGGTGAAAGCTCTAGCATCCATTCCTTAATTGAGAAACATATGCAGTTTCTACCCACCTGTCGACTGCCTCAGTTACAGTACTAAACTTTTAATTAACGCAACAGATAAAATTTTTGCAAACTGTATTTTCTGTATGCTCAGTTTTACCACTAATGCTTCCGGCTGGTATATCAGCTCAAGCCTTCATATAAATCATTTGACAGTACAGCCTAAGTCATGATTTTCATTTAGCTAAATTATACAGATTTTTATCTTAAGTCGACGGAGCTGCATGACCCTGATTTAACACTACTTCATGAATGCAATACGAATATAGTATCTGATTCGACAACTTGTTATTTCCTAAGGACATCGCATCTGCCTTTCTTCGCACCGGCGACTACAACGTGATAATGGTGGACTGGACGGATGGTTCTCTGGGGTTGTATGGACAGACTGTGGCCAATGCCCGGGTGGCGGGACTCGAGGTGGCCCACTTGATCACATGGCTCAGGGACAACACGGGACATCGACCTCAAGATGTGCACATCATCGGTCACTCTCTCGGCGCTCACGTTTCTGGTTGGTTCTCCTTCAGTTTCCGTCACGTCAAACTTGGTGAATAACACCGAACAAGAATGTAAAAAAAATATATGCATATATGAGTAAAAAAGCAAATACCGTGACTGGAACGATATACAAATAACCCGCACATGAGATAATGAAACGTATGACTACTTAATGCCCCAAGTCAGACCGAAACGTCGTAATAAGTTTCGTCATAAGTTTCTCTCTCCCATGTGCTGGTTATTTGTGTACATTTATTGAGGATACGTTTCGCCCACTAATAGTTTCTTCGGTCTATTCAGTAGAGCCTGAATGTTTTCCATTTCCCAAGGCGCTGTGACCCATTCCAGTTTAGCGCTGCCCCATGAATATAACAATAATATTAGTAATTTATACTTAGTGAAAAAAAAAAAAAAAACCACTCAATTTAAAACGTTTTCCTTATTAAATATCCTAGACTACACAAATGTCTTTTTACAACATGTTGTCGGTATTACCACATCTGTTACAACTAGAACTGACAAAGAATAATTGTAGGGTACACGGGGGAGCGAGTGCCCAAACTGGGAAGGATCTCAGGACTGGACCCAGCGGAACCCTACTTCCAGTACATGCCTTCCAGCGTCCGTCTGGACCCCACTGACGCTCTCTTCGTCGACGTTATCCACACCGATGGAGCACCTTTCTCCTTAGGTAAACCTTACTTGTACTCTTCGTAAAACACTGGATGATACTGAGAAAAGAGTTTCTTTAATGCTGTGGTTTCTTGTCGTCAGTTTTGTTTTGCAAGTTGGGGAGAAGGTGGATTTTTTCTAGAGTCTCAGTATACTTGCAGTTCGCTTAGGTTAAGGCCGAACCACGACAGAGTTACGTAGAGCAAAAAATGTACCCTTTAAATCAGCGGTAGAGTGTTACCTCCTTTCACATCATTGAGTTACTAAATAATGTAATGATAATGGAAAGATTGTAAATGAACGACTTTGTAATGCATACTAATACCTTCCTTTTTGTTTTATGTCAAAATAATGTTTATGTTTTAACATTTTCTTTGTTTAATAACAAAGAGTGGAAATTTAAACAGAACATTCTCTTTAGCTCTGTAAGAGCTTTTTTTTTAATTTGACATTAAGGATAAAATTCACAGTGAGGGCTCTCTCTCTCTCCCTCTCTTTCTCTCTCTCTCTCTCTCTTCTCTCTCTCTCTCTCTCTCTCTCTCTCTCTCTCTCTCTCTCTCTCTCTCTCTCTCTCTCTCTCTCTTTTGAGAGTTTCCCTTAATCTCTACGTATTCAAGTATTTTTGGCTATTAGTGAACCGATTATATGCAGGCTTAATGACTCTTGTAGTCGGTAGGCTTTAAACCCCATTATCCAATCAATCAGCCTTATCTTACACTCACAAATGTAAAAAAAAATTAAGCCTAATTAAAAAGTTTAATTGAAAATAGCTGACGTGAGTTTCATGAAGATTCTCCCTGACAATTATGTGTACCTTCCACTCTGTTCGTGATGTTGTACTAATGATTGTTAAACGTGTACACAGATGGTGGGTACGGACTGAAGGAGCCAGCTGGTCACCTTGACTTCTATCCCAACGGCGGCCAGAACCAGACAGGCTGTGAAACGCCTCTAGCAGCGCCCATCAGGTGGTTCATAAATGGCAAAAATTTCACCAGAGGTAAATGAGATTCCGTAAAAGTAGCAAGTGAGACTTTAAGGGTCAACGAAATTAACAAGTGTAACTTTTAAAAACTTGTCAGCAGCTAATTATTTTTTTTTAATTACACCGGCGGTCTCTCCAGAGTGCCTGCACTCTGGAGACAGGGTCAGTGTGATTATATCAGTTTCCACTGATTCCCTTCATAAATGTTGTCTTGCTCACACTCCAACAGCATGTCAAATATTTCAGACTAATTGTCTCCACGCTAATCTAACATGCTCACACACGCTGTTGGATGCTCAAGCACTGCCACTTAAAACAAGCTGGACAAAACACTGCCCTCGGGCCAAATCCAGCACGACAAGGAAATCTAACTTACTCACAGCTGTGTCTAGCAATTAATATACGTAATTTCATCGTCTCCAATTTAGGGAATAATTAATTTCGATTTTATTATGTCCTAACCAGTAGCGGGCGTTGGGAAGTCATAGCAGACAAACCTGGCATTACTTTTTTTATTAAAGAGCTCAATGTTACCTTTAGATTAATTCCAGAGTAAGTGTATGTCAGCGCCATCTGTGATCCAGTGTTTGTACCCTTAGTTGTCCTCCTGAAAACCAGGGAAACTGCAGCTGTTTTTTCTCTTGGTTACTTTGTTTACCTTTGACCGAGGGTCTCAGGATATATACAGAGATGTGCATTTCTCTCACAGGATATATACCCTGAGGGATGTATTTCTCTCAGCATTTATATGCTGAGAGTTTAATCCCTGTTTAAGGGATTAACTGACCCACGTGGGTCACTACACCTGTCACCGACCTGGGTCACTTCACCTACTGTCCGTGGGACAGCATCGAAGCGCTAAGCAAAGGTTAAAATATATTTTGTGACCCAGTAGCATTTAACAGCTTCACAAATAAACAAAACAGTTGTAAGGTACAGTGTCTAAGAAATTCAATAGGCTGGATGTTAAAGAAAAATATATACATTTTATTGCAGCATGGAATGTTGTGGAGGACGCTCTCGGGTGTAACCATTTACGAGCTGCGTTCCTCTTCCGTGACTCCATAGACTCTCAGTGCCCCTACATCGCCTTCAGCTGCCACTCCTACCAGCAGTACCGACAAGTGAGTGGTATCATCTATGGTATATTCTACAAGGTGAATAGCGACTTCAGACAAGGTACTGCCGATGGTAGTGACGAAAGGAGACGCTTCACAGATCAACCCTTTTTTTTTGGGGGGGGGGGGGGAAATAGTTCCTATCTGTGTAAGATCTTCATCATGACTTACGATCCTGACACATGGGAACTCTGTCCCAACAAAAGCTTGTGTATAGTGTTTTTTCTTTAAATGAAGGATTATTCTTATACATATATGCATGATTAACCTAAATGTAAAAGTATAATTGTTTTATTGTACGCTAAATAATGCCATGGAGTTTAAATTCATTCATTCCTAATGCATCTATAATAACTTTAGTGAATCCAAAGCCTCATAGTACAGCCCAAACAAAATACTTAAATTTGGCACAATTTATCGATCGCTTGTTTAATCTGCAATACATTAATCACTTAAAGCGACACTGTTAGATAGCGAGGATACTTCACTCTCACGGAGGCAACCGAAATATATCTTAACTTTGTTTTTGAGAATTATTTCAAAAGTTTGGTCATTGCGGCAAGTTTTACCAAGTGAGAAAGTACAGCAGTTCACATAAGTGAAGATATTAGTTTAGCGTAACCATTAGAAACCACGAAGATACTAAAATTAGTCGAGAATGTGTTGTTGGCAGGGTAAATGCTTCAGTTGTGGTGAGGATGGCACCAGGTGTGCCAGCATGGGATTTTACGCAGACACCTGGCCAGGCAGAGGACAAGTTGGCCTCAAGTTTTACCTCACCACTGGCCCGGTAGAGAATCTCTGCTGTAAGTATTGATTCATGATTCTTTATAAAAGTTATATTTTAGCGCTTCCCCCTTGATTATAATAATAATAATAATATAAAAGTTATTTTTCTGGGTTAACATTGTTGCCTACGATGTTCATCACTGCTTGACTAACTGCTTTCATACCTAAGAACGTAGCAATGTGTTAACATTTCAGTCAGTATATTAAGTATAGATATTATTAAACATTAATGTGACAATATTACCATTGAGTTGCTTCTTGGGTCAACCTTGGTTGCCTTCCATTCTCCAGTCACTGTATGACCCATACGTATTTTGCTGCAAATGTCTTTTTCTTCATCCTCCTGATTGTGGTGTATGTTTTCAAACATACGCCAAAATAAGAGGTTTTCCCAGTGTCTTCTAAAATTAGTTTAACTTCATTATACACCCCATATCCATTCTACCGGCGGTAGCTGAAAGATAAGAGCCACATGTTGGGCCTAGTCCCTGGAGCCATTATTTCTGTTGCCTTGGGAGGTTACTTAACACAGATCTGTTACAAATGCCTGTCTCCTCCAGTGTACCACTTCCGGCTGAGGCTGCAGCTTGGGGCAGGGCCCGGGACAACTATGGCTGGACAACTGAGCATCACCTTCTTCACCAACAATGGACACACCATAAAGTTTGATCTCCTGACTACTACGTACGTCCTCTGACTCGCTTCAGCGTATTCGTTTTCATGGAGGCTTTCTCTCGTAATATGGGACTGTTAAATCGACTGATTATAGTTATTTTGGTATTACTCCTGTGGTAGTCGTTTTTCTTAAATCTGTTTAGTGATTTCTGCTTCTCTTTAAGCTATAATCATATTTTATTTCTTAAATTTACTCTTCTCCATATTTACAAATAGTTTTTTTTTTTTCATTTAGAATTCCCCAAAGACTGGAGCACGGTAAGAGGTACACATTCTTGGTGGAACACGGGGAAGACCTGAGCAAGATCCAGTACGCCCACTTCACTTGGATCATCGATGGAAGCTCATATATCCCCGCTTCTGATGGCCCACTTCCACTCTCCAGCGTCTCCATATTCAACATTGAAAAATCTGTTCAAAGGTAAGAATGAACTCGAGAGCACACTTTTACAGACAGTCCTATTATTGAGATTAACAATTTATTGTTGATTTATTAATCATGGATCACCTTACAATGGTCTAAACATATAGCATGATACTTTAAAATTCCATTGACATTTAGTCTTTGCTTTGATTCCTAAAGATCACTCCAGACTTGGTAATTTTGGGAATATATTATTCTTGTTAATGACTGATGCGTATCTTAAATATTATAAACGGTAATATTTAGATATTTCCGTTAATATGCCGAAGTCATTGAGCAATCGCTCATCCCGTGAGTGAAAATTTAACAGTAAATGAGCCCTGATAACTGACACGCCATTGGCGACATAGATTCCATCTGGACTCAAAATCTAGGTACCACTAAACTTATAATTTCAGTATCCTCACTTGTAGATGAATGGTTCTGAGAACTGACACGTTGATAAATTAGACACATGTGCAACTCTTGTGTATCTTTATTGAGGAAACGTTTCGCCACACAGTGGCTTCATCAGTCCATACGAAGGTATGGACTCGTGAAGCCACTATATCTTTATCTTTACAAATAACATTAAATACCCATATATAAGGCCGTCAACAGTTATTTCCATATTTGCATACTTTTTTTTTTTTGCTGTATTCTAGTCTTGTATTCCGTATTCTAATATATTGTACTGGAGTGTTCATGCTCCACTCCATATTTACATTCTTTTCTCTCTTGGATTTGCTACACCAATCTTCGATATACACCTCAAGGAATCCTAGCCACCACTGTTTCTACTCTTCTATTTGTAATTTTCTCACAGTGAATATAAGTTTATAAGGCTACTCTATAGTAATACTTTAGAATCGCATTTTTTCTAACTTCTCTGCAAACTTTCTAATTTATTTTCGTGTGTTCCTGTCCTGCCAATTCACCTGCTCTTGCTATGACAGTTTAAAAAAAAATAAGGTCTTCAGCAGATATTTTTTCAAGCTTTTCTCAAAGCTGTCCTTAAGCGGAATTTTTCTTATCGCTCTATTAGGAATTCTACGATAAACAAATGGCTGTTGTGCTCCTATCCTTTTGTCTACGACAGAGAGCGGAGTGGTGGGCCGCTGCTGGGGTCTGAGGAGGTCGTGTTGTGCCCTGGTGGTAAACAGAACGACGTCCTGGTAGGAAGTGGTGAAACCGTCCAGCTGCTGACTTCACCCACCTGCTTCTCCGCTTGACAACATCCAGCTGGCCTTACTCAGATAATAACAGAAGTACATGTAATGTCCTGAGCAATAAGTCACAGTACTAAGGTTCGTACAGTTCACAAGTAACTACAGTACCATAGTTGGAACAGTTCACAATTAACTCAAATTACAGGAGAAACTGGAAGATTATGTATACTGCTCTTAATCTTATTGTTAGTGCTTTGGGATCTACATCAGCAAACTACGTCAAACCAACCCATAGTTACCCAACAGACATCAGTTGTTAGAATAATCACCCAATTAGGTTTCAAACAACATACACATCCTACTATTCAGCCTTAATTTACTCGGCTTGCAACAAATCAGCACCTGTGCTTTTTATACAGAGAGGATACTCGGAACTAATTTCAACCCAGCGCTACGACTCTTCCTAGAGAGCTGCAACAAAACATGTGCAACAAACTAATATCTCTTTAATATACCATGTGTATGACTCTACCTGTATAGGAACTCCTTGCAGATAAAGAGCCTTTAAATGTAGAATTCTCGTCCAGGTGCAAGAAATTCTGCCATGTCCTTGAAAAATAGTTAAGCGTATCTCCCAAATCTGACCTAAACATTGATTAAATTAATTAAAACCCAGGTTAGCAATAGTAATTCAGTTGGTACAAATGTTTGCATATATCCTGATCTCACTTGATCTCATTTATCACCAAAATATTTCGTTATATGAAATAACCAAATGTATATTCTACCAGTACTTCACAAATTGCTGCATAATCTCAATGTTTTAAATCATAAACTTTATGTAGTGTCAAAAACATTAATACTTGCAATCTAATTAAAGTAACTTAACTGATTGTTAAAGTTAAGACTTCCTGAATTGATCAATTTAATGTAGTTTACATAAGTCAGCCATTTCTATTTTTTTTATATAATCTGAAGTGTACTTGTAAAAATAGTTAGTCTTGTCTTGTCCATCTTGGAACATAAAGTTGCAACTTCATGGTTTATGAGAACCTGTAATTATTTTATTCAGCATTGAAATCCTTGTCAGGGAGTTTTCAATGCAGTGGTGGACGCTCAGTCTTCCGTTCGCTAGTCGTGGCCTGATGTCTGATCAGTCAGGCTGTTGGTGATCGCTCAAAAAAATCTTCAGTATTACTGTCGGCAGACTTCTTAACAAATACCTCCAGTGACTAGAATATTGAGCTAAGCTTTAGTAGGCCGCATGACAGTTACTGTCAAAGGCATTTTTTCGATAGACACTTAGCCTTCTGTGTGTTTTTGTGTGTGGGTGGGGGAGCTGCTTATTTTGAAAGATATTTTGGTTATGCCGCGGTGCCCTCTGCCCCAGCTATTTCGGGATAGAGATTCGATTGTACTAGTCTCAAACTTCGAGGCCTGGAGTCTAAAAGCCTAGTTGAATCAACCTCACCGAGATAGGAGACCGGGCACTTTCACATTGTATATAGAACTTACAAATATATAAGTGCACATGTTCAGAGTTGGGAATCATTTCTAAAGTTTCCTTCATCAGAAACATCTTCATCAATACAATGAATTGATGGAACTCCTGTTGAGAGAAATTTATCAGTTTCCTAATGTTGTACATGTTATATACACCAGACTCTGTACCATAAGAGGATGCAGAAGCCTAGTACCTATAGGTACAGATCACAGTATATATAAATCTTTCATTGGGACAACGCTTCTCAGAGTCCCAATGAAAGCTTGTTCTGTACATGGTTTTCGTACCAGTGTAACACAGCATTCTTAAATCTGGCACCAGTTTCTGGATTTTACATCTGCGTTAATGATAAATTTTTGATCAGAAAACATCCCATCGGCCTGCAACGTGTGATGGAGTATCTTAACCCTGCCATAGTCAGTCATTAAGATCTTCATCACGTTTAGAATTTATGCGTCCAGGTATTGGGTCAAGTTTGTCTTGCTTGTATATAGAACTGCTTTTATTTTGTCTGTATGCATGCTATGGAGAATTATCATGCCCGTAGTGTGATAATTCTCGGTTATTTATTCAGAATAAAAAATGAAAGAAAAACGATGTTTTTATGTCCGTTTACCAGCAGATATGAGGAGGTTTAAGGGAGAGGAGGGCGTTCTTGATGCTAGAGGAATCGTGATGCAAGAACACTATATTCCTTGAACACAACCCTTAGGGATCATACAGCGTCTGTGGAATGAGATTGTCAGGATTAATCCCATGTGTTCAGACAATACACATTATGAGCAGGTCCCAGTTATTTTGTATGACTGATCTCCCACCAGTGGTCCAAAATACCCACAATTCACCAGGTGGAGGCGTCTGCTCGTAGAGTTTCCCTGCATCCAAGGAACTGGAGGTATTCCTTTCCTTTCAGCTGAGCATGTTTACTCCCTCGGCGCTGTATGACCTCTGTGAATTTAGTGACTCCCTGTAAATAATGTAAAGGCGTTTTGGTTTTTCTCCCTGACACGCCATCCTATATCTGATTTGCGAAAAGAATTTAAGAGTTCTGGTTAGCAGTAACCTAAAACCAAAAACCTAAAACGCAATAAAGCTAACAGAATGTTCCTTCCTTCTTATGTTCTTATCTTACCACAAGGGCGGCGCCATAGAGGGGGGAGGGGAGGCTAATGGTGGCCTGGTAGGCAACGCTCTCGCTTCACACGCTATACATATCCGTGGTTCGATCCCCGGCAAGGATGAAAACATTGGGCATGTTTCCTTACACCTGTTCTCCCGGCCACCTAGCAAGCAAGCAAGTAGGTACCTGGATGTTAGTCGACTGGTGTGGATCGCATCCTGGGGGACAAGATTGAGGACCCGAATGGAAATAAGGCAGACAGTCCCTCGATGACGCACTTACTATCTTGGTTTATCCTGAGTGGCTAACCCTCCGGGGTTAAAAATCCGAAAATCTTACTCTACCAAAATCAGACTCACATGTTTAAAACTTTTACATCCAGTTAACAGCGTATGAGCTGAGATAGACTTTTTTTTTCATTTTACTCACGGGGAAGCGCTAAACCTGTAGGGGTCATGTAGCGCCCGAGGAATAGGCATTTAAATTCAACCCAAGGACAGGGATATAAAGTCCCAATCCGTGGATCAAGAGCCCCTCACGGAGAATTTGTTCAAGAGGCACCTAACCAGTTTGAACACTTCATATTGAAAAATATATATATATATATTCCAGCTGAAACCTCTAAATTCTATTATTGATTTTAACCCGAATATAAGATATTAGGCGCCAAAGACACTTTCTGTTAATTACCATTGCCTGGGAGAGCGGATGTTACGTATACTGAGGTATGCTTACTTTCTCTATACTGAAGACATCACGAGCATACGTAACCATGTTATCTCAGTCAGGAATTGGATAAGCGCCAGGATCTGCCATAGCCTCACAATCTCACTAACAGTTCCACTTGGTATAGCCTATGACTCTAGGATATCTTATGATCTTGTAACGTGGGAGGAGTTTGCAAGCGTATTAGTCTTATTTGCGAACATTATACCTTAAGATATTGATGTAAGTCTACATCTTATTACGTCACAGAATCCTCCATCAATGACGTCATGGTTGTAACTGACTTGCCTGAGGACAACTAATCGCTACTTAAATGACTTTGTTAACCCAGGTGATAAGCAGTTAACATCCTCCTCTACTCCAGACGACAGAGATCGGTATGGGAGGAGAAAATACAATTGGTTTACTCTTGCAATCGCTTACAGTGAGTGGGTGGGTTCAGAACCTTCCTTGAACCACTCTCCAGTCTCCCCCGTGACGCTGACATGGTGGGTACACCTGTTGTAGCTACCTGTTATGCCCTTTTTGAGCATGTAATTATTACCTGTGGTGGTGTAGGCTTAGTTAAGTTAGGGAGTGCAAGTGCTAGAACAGTCTAAGATAGTTGTTAGCTCACTTTTAAGTATATTACCTGTTATTTAATTCTTTACAGACCTGACATTTCTGAGCCATTCGTGGGGTCAGTGTTTACGTCCAATTACTGTGTTAATGGTATTGTGGTGAAACCCGTTATAATATTAACTGTTTCGAGTGTCTCCACTGTGTTGCGTCTGGAATTGTGTACATAACAGAAAAAATCTTCAGTAGGCCTACTGACCATACTAGGTAGGTCCAATTCACATTCTCACTTCTGTATTTGTCCAACCCAGCCTTAAAGATCTGTAAAATATTTATTTCGGTTTTACTTGGAGGTTTATTCCATTGTGTTGGAACTGTATGAACTGTTGTATATCCAAGGTATACAATACCTACAAGATGATGTATTAGACATGTGAAACATCTGGGTCTTTTTATTTTTAGACGTTTCGCCATTCGGTAGATTTACCAGTTAAATACAGTGACATACACGGAAGGTTGTAGATATTACCTTTTCCTCAGTCCAGAAGAGGCTTTTCTGAATTTCAGTACACAATACGCTTCACTAATAACTGTAGGATGAAAACTGAGAGAATCATCCGCTTTCCTAGAGACAAACTGGGCCGAGTCTTAGTACTTGAAGTCAGCCAGATTTCAGACCTTTCCATCACTGTCAAGAGTAAAACAAGAATGGTAAACATCATATCCGGCACTATTAAAAATAATTGAGACACTTGTGTATCTTTATTGTGGAAACGTTTCGCTAACAAGTGGCTTCCTCAGTCCGGCATAAAGATGAATGATGGAAGATTACAAAGGAGTTTGACGTAATCAGTCCCTCAGCCTTGAGTCGATGTGTTCAGTCAATCTTGATAAGGTTGGTGAAACGTTTCCGTGTTGCACAAGTATCTCAGCCATCAACTTGTTGGTTCTGCTATTAAGAATGTTTATCTACTATTAATAATATTTATGGAGGTATGTTATACTGACAAACAGTGGAAAGAAAGAAACAAATAATTTTACGATAATTTCAAGAAAACGTTTTTGTTTTGAGACCTAGGTCGATCCATATGTACAAAGGGTAAAAAAAAAAACGTTAGCCGAATACAGACACAGGAAAGAGTAGAAGCAGTGGAGGTGTAAAGATATAATCAGTCCATCACCCTCGACGAATTAGTTTTGAGGTCAGTCCCTTATCCCGGATAAGAGTTCAGTTCCATAGTCCGGAACAATGTGAAGCTGAGGCATGAGAATGGACACTTAAAGTATATACCTCCAAAGATCAGATGCAGTTATCTTTATTCCGAAACATTTCGGAGTAAAGATACCTTATTGCTGCACATGTATCTTGCTTAACTTCGTGTGGTATTGTATACCACTGCTATGCACACACTGTCTGACACTGAAACATAACTGTATCTAGGTAAGGAGAGAAAAAGGTTAGATTTTAAAGGGACCTGCTTAACACGGGCTAGTAAGCTTACTTATTTCTACCAGCGGGCCCCGCATATATTGACATCGGCTCGCCCATGCATTGGTATTTTCATATAGTAAAAGTCTACTGCGTGAGCGAAACGTTATCACATTTCATGTGTATGTTTCCATTATGTCAATATTCTTTATCATCTTTCTTCAATGAGTACTGGTTATAAACAGCATCCACGTGAACACCAGTTCACGTGGATGTTGTTTATAACCAGAGAGTGAGTGAGTGAGTAGGATTGGATCTGAGTACTTGCCTAGCATTTGCCAGTAGGCCTATCGCTGTGCTCCTTCATTCTTGTGTTCTTATCATCCACGCTAAGTGCACTACTACTGCTACTCCCCTAAAGTTTAGGAGGTTCCTTGACGCTGGTGAGGTGCTCTTAATCTAGGGAATTGGATGTGTGCTCCAGTTCCCTGAATTGAGCCTGAATACCTTCCTTTCCCCCTCCAACAGAAGCTGTATAATATCTACGGGTTTAGCGCTTCCCCATGATTATACTACTATAAAAATGGTATAAAATACCGACAGATTGTTAGGTAAGACACATATGCAACAGTTAGGTATCTTTATTTTGAAACGTTTCGCCTACACAGTAGGCTTCTTCAGTCGAGTACAGAAAAGTTGATAGAAGCAGAAGATACTTGAAGACGATGTAATCAGTCCATCACCCTTAAAGTTTTGAGGTGGTCAGTCCCTCAGTCTGGAGAAGAGCATTGTTCCGTTGTCTGAAACAATATGAAGTTGAAGTGACAGAATCGGGCCTTATATAGTGCCAGGAGGTGAGACGTAGGTTGATTTGGGAGGGCAGGTCCTTCTCAAACCCAGCCGTTCTCACTAGTAGAGGTTGTCGAAGTAGATGGTCTGTACCAAGATACCCTTGTGTTGCAGTGTCTGACAGAATGAACATTAAAATGGTATAAAATACCGACAGATTGTTAGGTAAGACACATATGCAACAGTTAGGTATCTTTATTTTGAAACGTTTCGCCTACACAGTAGGCTTCTTCAGTCGAGTACAGAAAAGTTGATAGAAGCAGAAGATACTTGAAGACGATGTAATCAGTCCCATCACCCTTAAAGTTTTGAGGTGGTCAGTCCCTCAGTCTGGAGAAGGGGCATTGTTCCGTTGTCTGAACAATATGAAGTTGAAGTGACAGAATCGGGCCTTATATAGTGCCAGGAGGTGAGACGTAGGTTGATTTGGGAGGGCAGGTCCTTCTCAAACCAGCGTTCTCACTAGTAGAGGTTGTCGAAGTAGATTGTCTGTACCAAGATACCCTTGTGTTGCAGTGTCTGACAGAATGAACATTAAAATGGTATAAAATACCGACAGATTGTTAGGTAAGACACATATGCAACAGTTAGGTATCTTTATTTTGAAACGTTTCGCCTACACAGTAGGCTTCTTCAGTCGAGTACAGAAAAGTTGATAGAAGCAGAAGATACTTGAAGACGATGTAATCAGTCCATCACCCTTAAAGTTTTGAGGTGGTCAGTCCCTCAGTCTGGAGAAGAGCATTGTTCCGTTGTCTGAAACAATATGAAGTTGAAGTGACAGAATCGGGCCTTATATAGTGCCCGATTCTGTCACTTCAACTTCATATTGTTTCAGACAACGGAACAATGCTCTTCTCCAGACTGAGGGACTGACCACCTCAAAACTTTAAGGGTGATGGACTGATTACATCGTCTTCAAGTATCTTCTGCTTCTATCAACTTTTCTGTACTCGACTGAAGAAGCCTACTGTGTAGGCGAAACGTTTCAAAATAAAGATACCTAACTGTTGCATATGTGTCTTACCTAACAATCTGTCGGTATTTTATACCATTTTAATGTTCATTCTGTCAGACACTGCAACACAAGGGTATCTTGGTACAGACCATCTACTTCGACAACCTCTACTAGTGAGAACGGCTGGGTTTGAGAAGGACCTGCCCTCCCAAATCAACCTACGTCTCACCTCCTGGCACTATATAAGGCCCGATTCTGTCACTTCAACTTCATATTGTTTCAGACACCGGAACAATGCTCTTCTCCAGACTGAGGGACTGACCACCTCAAAACTTTAAGGGTGATGGACTGATTACATCGTCTTCAAGTATCTTCTGCTTCTATCAACTTTTCTGTACTCGACTGAAGAAGCCTACTGTGTAGGCGAAACGTTTCAAAATAAAGATACCTAACTGTTGCATATGTGTCTTACCTAACAATCTGTCGGTATTTTATACCATTTTAATGTTCATTCTGTCAGACACTGCAACAAAAGGGGGTATTTGGTACAGACCATCTACTTCGACAACCTCTACTAGTGAGAACGGCTGGGTTTGAGAAGGACCTGCCCTCCCAAATCAACCTACGTCTCACCTCCTGGCACTATATAAGGCCCGATTCTGTCACTTCACTTCATATTGTTTCAGACAACGGAACAATGCTCTTCTCCAGACTGAGGGACTGACCACCTCAAAACTTTAAGGGTGATGGACTGATTACATCGTCTTCAAGTATCTTCTGCTTCTCTCAACTTTTCTGTACTCGACTGAAGAAGCCTACTGTGTAGGCGAAACGTTTCAAAATAAAGATACCTAACTGTTGCATATGTGTCTTACCTAACAATCTGTCGGTATTTTATACCATTTTAATGTTCATTCTGTCAGACACTGCAACACAAGGGTATCTTGGTACAGACCATCTACTTCGACAACCTCTACTAGTGAGAACGGCTGGGTTTGAGAAGGACCTGCCCTCCCAAATCAACCTACGTCTCACCTCTTGGCACTATATAAGGCCCGATTCTGTCACTTCAACTTCATATTGTTTCAGACAACGGAACAATGCTCTTCTCCAGACTGAGGGACTGACCACCTCAAAACTTTAAGGGTGATGGACTGATTACATCGTCTTCAAGTATCTTCTGCTTCTATCAACTTTTCTGTACTCGACTGAAGAAGCCTACTGTGTAGGCGAAACGTTTCAAAATAAAGATACCTAACTGTTGCATATGTGTCTTACCTAACAATTATACTACTACATGGCACCACTACTACCATCTCTTCTATTTCCCTATATTAGTCCGCTTTGTATTAGTTTGAAAAAAGGCCTCTGGTTGCCTAAGCATCGTTCAAATAAAGATACCCAGGTGTTGCACATGTATCCAACAATTTGTTGGCATTAGTATATGCTTTGATGTACTTATGACGTTCCACGGCTGCAGTAGTGTGTAGGGCTGGGCTGGGCTGGGCTGGGCTGGGCTGGGCTGGACTGGACTGCGTGTCGAGGGACAGTGATTAAGGTACGAGCGAGGTATGTAAATTGTGCCTTTTTTGTTACTTATGTACATGTGATTACTCAGTGTTCGTAAGGTGACGGCGCGGGTCGCAAATATTTGATCACCTAGACGTCGGCTCTTGCCTGCTCTGCATCGTGTCCGGAAAAAAGGTTGCGCTAGTTACTAACATATCCAAAGGCATAGTACAGTAGTGAGACTTGTAAGGATAAATGCTGTGTACAAGTGCCCAACGAAGTTGATCTCGCAGGAATCTTTTCTTCTCCCCAGTCGACCCTTTAGCATCAGAAGCCTCAACGAAGGTAAATTTACAAAAATTCTTTAAAATCAGAAATTATTTTACGTGAATCTATTTTGTTTCGAATTCTTTCTTAGATGTTATCATCAGTATCCAGTATCTACTTTATGAATAGGACACATGTGGAACAACACAGGTCTTGCACATGTCTTATTCATCTACTTTACAATTTTGTAAACCATTAATATATAGGTAAAAATACACGTGCAAATAATGTGACAATTATGTTGCAGAGGTCTAAACACAGGTCCGATCTCTGCCACACAATTGTTCTCAAAGATTTGTTAAGTTATACCATGAATTAAGGAAAGATCTTAGATCTCACCTTACAAAACAAAGCAAATGCTATAGTAATTATGGACAAGGTAGATTATAGTGAAAAAATGAACATGCTATTAGAAGACAAGGGGCACTTACGTGCCTCTTAAACACTTCTTCACAAAGAAAGGCGGGTAGTACCATTGAAGTGAGTAATATTGCTTGCTTTAAAACTTGGTGGGTCAAATACACGAGCGAGAGTGAGTAGGTGTGGGTTGGCTTTGTCTAGTAGGCTAATCATTGCCTAAATAAAGTTTCCAATTGAAGAATGAGACACGTGTGTAACATCTGGGAATCTTTACTGAGGAAACGTCCTCAAAGATTCCCAAATGTTGCACACGTTTTTCATCCTTCAACTTTTCGGTTTTTTAAATCATTTACATCACAAAGTTACCAGTTGTCACCTGTGGTCCTTCATCATCTGCAACAAACTGAGGTATTTCTCTCATTTGATTTTATAAGTAAGCCAAATTCATTGTTCTGTATGTATTTTTTTTTATGTTCCAGGCCACGAGAGCGCGAGCATGGTGGCATTTAGGATGTTCATGGTTCTGGTTATAATGACGATTGTAGCTCCAGCCTCCATTCAGTGCCTAGTGGATCTAATGGAACGGATAGTGGAGGATTTGCCAGCCTTGTTTCATAGTATCAAGACTTCTCCATATTGGGGCGTCTCCCCTAGGAACTTTCCTCACTTGGCAGAAAGCAGTAAGTAATGTCAAAATCAGCTAGTGTAGTGTACTTCATGGAAAAATCTATTGAAAATTTGATTTCCACAGAAGTAACTAAAAAATTGCTGGGGAAAAATAAGAGCTTCACACGGTGAACGTCCAGGTTCGATTCCCGGCGAAGGGGTGGAAACATCGGATGTGTTTCCTTACACCGGCTGTGTTCACCCATCAGTAAATTGGGTACCTGGGTGTTAGAGGACTGGTGTGGGTCGCATCCTAGGACAAAACTGACCTAATTTGCCCGAAATGCCCTGCATAACAAGGGACTTTCTTTATAATAGTGTCATTGATGTCAGCTATGGCCTGTATACCTTGTAAATGTAGTAAATAAAGATATTATTATTATTATTATTATTATTATTATTATTATTATTATTATTATTATTATTATTGGGACGTTTTATTTTGGCAAAGTTTCGCCATAATATGGCAGCGTTTCCATAATAAAATGCTGCATTAGTTGCACATATGTCCCTTTACACAACATATTGTAGGTAATTCTTCCAACATTGTTACATTAATAGTGACTTGCATTCACTGTTTTGAATTCGTCTTTTTAACATTACTGAGCACAATGCGAAGATATAGTGAGAGCAGATGGTAATAAACCTCAGAGAAAAATTTTGGAAAGAGTATTCATATTGTTAGTTGTCTACATGGAAATAAGCAGATCATGCATTTTGTGAAAATACAAATAATATTAGAGTTTATCGTTTTGTAAATACGACATAGTTGCGGCACTTGGGCATTTATTATGGGTACTTTTTCGCTCACTGAGAGCTTTGTCAATTCAATAGAGGCTGAATAAAAGTATATATGTGAGGAACAAGGTCAAGTGTAGGAAGCTTGTATGGTCATAGTCTCGAGAGAGAGGTCACTTGGTGGATGTTATGATGGGGTTATATTAATGTAGCCCAGATAACTTGGACAAGCTGGAACTACCAGTATTTTAAACATGGTAGTCGATGCTGACCCAACACCCTTTCCCGTTTGGGAGTCTTTTCGTCCCTGAAACTAAGAGTGAATATAAATCGTATTATCGTTCTTCTTTGCAGGTACAGCAGAGCCGTCTGTTGATCAACACTGCTTCGCGGAGCTTGGCTGCTTAGTGACTGATGCAGCTTTCTATCATCCTCGCTACCGACCTTATAATCTCCAGCCGGAGTCGCGGGAGGTCATCAATGTCGTCTATATCATATACTCCCGTGAGGATCCAAAAGGACTTTTGGTACCTGCGCTAGGTATCCAGAAGTTATACATATCTTCATTCAGACCCAACAGGAAGACCAAAATCCTCTTGCATGGATACCTCAGTAGCCGGGATTCTTCCTGGATGATGGCAAGTTTCTGTAAAATCTTATTTGTCTGGCATAGATCATTAGGTCCGCTGCGGTGTCCCTTTACTCTTGTATAACTAGAGTGTTAGATGTTATTACATATTCGTGAATATTTTTTTTGGTAATTGACAGACTTTTGCCGACGTCCTCCTGCACGCTGCTGATTACAATGTGATACTAGTGGACTGGACGGATGGGTCTCTAGGGTTGTACGAGCAATCTGTGGCCAATGCCCGGGTGGTGGGGCTGGAGGTGGCTTACTTGGTCAACTGGCTCAGGGACAACACGGGACACCAACCTCAGGATGTCCACCTCATTTGTTATTCCCTCGGAGCTCATGTGTGCGGTGCGTCTCTTTTTAATCTTGCATTGTCCTTATGTTAGGTAAATGGACACATCCCTAAAATTGAAGTGTTGGTGAAGAGCGTAGGACAGGGACAGAACTAGTACTGAAGGTAGCAGCAGTGGTAGTAGTAGCAATGAGGTAGTAGCAGTAACAGTGGTAGTGGTAGAGGCAATAATAAAGTAGTAGTGAAATAATAGTAATGGTCATAACTGGACGGGAAAAAAGGCAGAGAAAGAAGGATGACAAAACTCCTGTCATTAGGTAATTGCATCCTTGTTCTTCTACCTAATATTTTGTCGGTAAGTATATCATTATTGCCAGTACTTACAAGTTCTCCCCCCTCTCCCAGGTGTGGGTTATTTGTGTATTGTTAACATAAGAAATGAGGAAAACTGCAGTAGGCCTGTTAGCCCATTCAGGGCAAGTCCTTCACAAATCCAACCCACTAACAGAATATTTGCCCAACTCAATTTCAACGCTACCCAAGCAATAACCTTTGATAAATTTATTTACTCATGTGGAAGTCCCACTTAAATCCAACCCCTCTCACTAATGTATCAAAACCGTACAAAACATCCATACTTATTATTGTGCTTACTACATACATAGAACACTAAACTCGGATATAAACCCTCCCCACAAACTTCTCCTTACCAACCTCAACAGAATACATGACCATAACACAAGGCACAGATCACTCTTTGATGTTCCCTGTGTCCATCTCATACTATGTAAAAACTCAATGCACATAAAAGGCCCAAAAATCTGGAATTCATTACCTGTGAATATAAAAGAAATACTTTCTACTTATCAATTCAAGACTCTTCTTAAAAATCACTTACTCACCCACAACTAAATAAATACTGAATAACTGTATCTCATAAATGTATAACCTGTGACCCTATCAAACTATGTTTTTTTTAATTACATCACCTAATAGAATACTCCATTCTCTTGAATGCTCAGTAACTCATCTAATGACCATATGACCTGTTTCTGCACTACAAATCATTGATTTTACTCTATTTGATCGGATTATATTATACATTGTTATGCTACAAATTTGCATAACTTTAATGCTTTTTATTTGAAATACTCATTTGTACTTCATGCTGTAATTTGTTTATTGTAATTTTTACCACTTAAGTTAATCTTAAGTTAATTTTAAGCCTTCCCATAATGCTCTGCATACAAGGGGCTTTTGGCATGTACACCCAATCACTATATTTCTTTATACAACTATGTATCATGTCCAAATAAAAAATAAATAAATAAATTTGCCCAACCTAAATTTGAAACTATCCAAGGTTTTAGCTTCAGTAACCCTACCATTAACAATCGTCTTGCTTTGTCTTACTCCAAATTGCTTATAACAACTGATCTGCTGAGCAATACGAAATTTAACTATTTTAATTAATTTTAATCACTGGGGAATGCAAATCCCGAAGGGGTCATACAGCGCCTGGAAAATGAGAGGCAATCAGGTTAGATTCAAGGAGAGGTAGGATAAGTGGAGTTCCACGGATCAAGAGCCACTCGCAGGTATCTTCTTCTTCTCATGACCAGAGCTTCGGTAAGATGGGTAAGGAAGAAGGATGGGTAAGGATAGAAATATTAGAAAAAGGTGGGAGGGGGGAGAGAGGTAGGATATAAAAGGTAAGTGGCCCAACCACTTTGGTGTAATTTAAAAAGTGTATGTGGAATAATAAAATATTCTTGAAGGGGTATAGTACTAACCCATCAGAGTCACATAGATATAACAGATATATAAGTACATGACTGAATTGGTAGTAAATATACAAGTTGCAATTTTTTTTTGCGATTGCACAACGGATATTTAAACGACAATGAAGGCAATAATTTTCTGGCCAGTTTATAAAGAATTACTTGACACAATAGCTTCTTACAAGGTGATGACCCGCCATAGTAAATGTAGCATAATTTTAACAAGTATCAAGACATCTCAAATGTATTAGTCATTAATTGTTTTCCTTTTAACCCAGCATTATATTTATTATATTCACGGGGTGGGGAGTGTAAAACCCGAAAGGGTCAGTTCCTGGGAGAATGAGACAATCAGATTGGATCCAATAAAAAAGGCAGATAGGTTTTGTTCTTGAAGACAACCTTGTAAATCACCTTGTGAGTTGTCTAAACACTGTCCTATCTATAACCATATTAACTGCACAATTCAACTATCTCAGACTAACTTCGTTAACTATTCATTAGACCACAGCAAAATTGGAATCAGTAATTATGATACCTTGGCCCCAGGGTACGCGGGTGAGCGTGTGTCTGGACTGGGCAGGATCACTGGACTGGACCCAGCAGGACCTAGCTTCCAGCACCTGCCTCCCAGCGTCCGCCTCGACCCCACTGATGCTCTCTTTGTCGACGTCATCCACACAGATACCTCTCCATTCTCTTGGTGTAAGCCTCACCGGAAAGTTCTCTTTTTCATTGTCTTTAATGGAAAACCATTTCAAATTTGAATGCTATTTTTGTGATATTTCTGCAGTGCCAGTCGCTATTTTATGTGCTTAAAATTTCTAGATTGCTAATTAATAGTATAATTTTAATGCCACGTGTTAAAAATTTAAGTAGTTGTGTATAGTAGTTGGTTGATGTGACACTGCCACCCTCCTGGTGTTCTCGGCAGTGCTGAATTTTGTATTGCGTTTACAGTTGGTGGTTACGGGATGACGGAGACTTGTGGCCACCTTGACTTCTTCCCAAATAATGGACGTAACCAACCTGGGTGTGAACCTCCAGTCACCAGGTGGCTACAAAATAGTAACTTCTCCTTGAGTAAGTGCAGATTTTTTGTTCAGTGCTAGAAAATTGGGATAGACTATTATAATCATGGGGGGAGCGCTAAATCCGTAGGATTATACAGCGCCTGTGGCGAGGGGGATGGAAGGTATTCAGGCTCAGTTCAGGGAACTGAAGAACAGATCCAATTCCCTAGATCAAGAGCCCCTCACCCAGTGGCGTCGCTAGCGTTGGTGTCACCCGGGGCGGCACCCCCATGAAATCCAATGCGGGGGATGGGGGGGGGGGCGTGAGTAAACTTTAGTTACTAGACATACAGTAGTGGCGTAACTGATGTTTAGCAATGAGAACGTTTAAGGGCCATTAACTGAACAGGAGAATCCTTCTCAACTTTTTAATGATAAATGATCGTAGTAATATTAAGGGAACATAAACTCAAATACCACTTTGAGTACAGCCAACAGATCCTACATTTATTCATCTTCAACAATGCAAAAAAAAAAAAATCTTGAAAAATGAAGAAAAGCATTGCAATATCAGATTATTATTATTATTATAATCAAGGGGAAGCGCTAAACCCGGAGGATTATACAGCGCCTGGGGGGGGGGAATGTGGAAGGCATTCAGGCTTAATTCGGGGAACTGGAGCACAGATCCAATTTCCTAAATCAAGAGCCCCTCACCAACATCAAGGAACCTTCCTTGAGGGGATTGCAATATCAGAGAAACATTAGTTCCGATTTGACTTGAGTACAGGTAACATATCAGTGTATCTGATCTTACATTTCCTTGCCTTCAATCCTGCAATCCTTCAGTCCCTATATAGGCCTATTTGTACTTTGTAATCATATAATAGGCTATATAGAAACGAAGGATTCTTCTCTTATTTTGGTGCATCACTGTTTTGGGTGTTAGTGTCACATTTAGAGGCTCTATAGTGTCACCCCCTAAATGGTGTAACCCGGGGCGCCCCCCTCCCCTTACGACGCCACTGCCCTCACCAGCATCAAGGAACCTTCCTTGAGGGGTTTGGGATAGGTTAACTGCTGGGATAGGTGCTTCACAGTCACTGCTGGGATAGTAGGGCAATGCCACTTCTAAGATAGAGGGACATGGTCACTGCAGTGGTAGTGGGACAGGTTAGCCGGATAGGGCGAGTGTTGGTACAGGCTCATTGTTCAATTCTTAAAAGGGAAGATTTAATGAAACCTCCGCAATGTTAAAGTTAATCAGTGTAATATATGTTCCTAAAAACGAACTTTAATCCGGCACACACACTAGGAATACTAATTTGAATCATCATTACTACATGACAGCACGCTACTTACACGCACCTGTTGAGTGTTATGAAAAAAAAGTACATTAACTTCTTATAACAAAGATTTTCTGTTTTTTTTTATTGCTATTCTATGTTAAAATTGTTTTATCTTGTTTTGTCTTTTTTGGTTATATCAATTCGTAATGATTTTCAGTGTCCAATGCTGTGGAGAATGCTTTAGTATGCAACCACATGAGATCTATCCTTCTCTTTATCAACTCCATTGTATCGCAGTGCCCTTACACGGCTTTCAGCTGCCAGTCCTACAACCATTATAAACAAGTAAGTAATATTCGATCACAGCTTGAGAATGGGCGGACATAAAGGTCCACTAACTCCTAGTTGTTTGGAAAGGCAGACAAACACCTCCAGGTATTTTATTATTATTATAATCAAAAAGAAGCGCTAAGCCACAAGGGCTATACAGCGCTGCAGGGTAGGGAAGGAAGCAAGGGAATTGGATGGCAGAAGGGAGGGGGGGATGATCAGCAGGTTACAGAAAACAGCGGGGCAGGGGATAGTACGGGGGTAGAGGGTAGCAAGAGATTGAAGTAGAAAGGGCTGAAGGTATCAGAATTTGTGAAGTAAGTCAGTCGTTGTCAAAAAGTCAATGAGAGAGTCCGGATGAAAGGTGGGTCCATCAGCGAGAAGGGAAGGTAAAGAGAGAGCAGCGGAGCGAAGACGACGACAGAGGTAAATTCTGCGTGCTCGTTGATAAAGTGGGCAGTCCAACAGAATGTGGCTGACTGATAATGGAGCTTGGCAATTCTCACAGAGAGGAGCAAGACGCCTCTCCATGAGATATCCATGAGTAAGACGAGTATGGCCAATGCGAAGACGGGAGAGAGTAGTCTCCCAACCTCGACACTGGTGATAAGAAGACGGCCAGTAACCTCCAGGTATTATGGTGAAGACAAGACAGTCATAGATCGAGAATTTATTGGTACATTGTTTCTCCTTGTATAGTCACGATAAACTTCCACACAGAGCTTTTATTCTAGAAGTAAACGTGTCTTCACTTTTATCGATCACTAGACCATTAAGGGTCATACAGCGTCTGGGGGAATGGGAGGTGGTTAGGTTAGACTCAAGGAAGGGAAGGACATGTTTAATTGCTTGCATCAAGAGCTCCTCACCGTCATCAAGGAACACCAGTATCAGTGAGCTTTTTTAAACAATTACATGAACTGGACTTTCATTTACATTATTTTGATACACTTAATTTGACCCAAGTGTAATAACTTCGTCCTCAGATAGTGTTGACTTAGTGTTTGCTATGACAGTCTTTCAAACTCGGAACAGTGTCATTTTTTCCTTTTAATTCTTCTCTTATACCGTAAATGACTTACGAAATAATCAGTGCAATTTACTAATATCTTCTGATGAAAATTAGACACGTATGCAACATCTGGGTATGTATCTTTGAAGATACCTAGGTGTTGCATACACGTCTAATTTTCAACCTGTTGGTACTGTATACCATTCATGTACAAGTAATGTCTTTTAAAGTAAATTAGTCGCTCATCAGTGTCTGAACTTTTAATATATCTTATCCGCAATGAACGATGTCGAAATTTCCTTTATTTTTCAACATTTAGAAGACGTGGCTAATACAGTCAAGATAATTCTTAGTAGTACCTTTTCAATTAGTATATTATTATTATTATAATCATGGGAGAGCGCTAAACCCAGAGGATTATACAGCGCATGTGGGGGGGGGGGCATGGAAGGTATTCAGACTCAATTCAGGGAACCGGACCACAAAACCAATTCGCTAGATCAAGAGCCCCTCACCAGCATCAAGGGACCTCCCTTGAGGTGTCAGTGAGTATAACAGATATAAATTATAATATATTATTATTATAATCAAAAAGAAGCGCTAAGCCACAAGGGCTATACAGCATATAATATAAATAATATAGTTTTTGACATCTCCCACCAAGTTAGGCGACCCCCAGCAGAAAAAAATGTTAACTATCATTCATTTAATAGCGGAATTTAAAACAAGATACAGAAAACTTTTATTTACCGTAGAGCTAACATAGATACATTCTTAATTTTTTTTTTTTGTTAAAATGAACCGTTTGGCACTTCTGATGACTTTCTAGTTTTTTCCTAGGTGATCCTGTCAGTTTTATTACAATACATATAAAAACACCTGGAGCTTATTACATGGTGGATAAACCATCCTATATTATCAGACTTCTTTTTTTCTTGTTTTCTAAATTTATGTATATGTACACTAATGACTCTGTTAGCCAAGAAGAGTATCGAGAAGGAGAACGTAGAATATAACTTTGGTATAACTGTGTCTAACATTAGGAATAATATTAGGAGAGAAGTAAATAATGAAAATGATTGTTATAGGAATGCAGTTAGAAGCCTGAGTAGATCTATAACCCACTATGATAACATGAACGTAGATAAGTATGTTTATGGAGCAACTTGCAATGTGAACAGACTGACTGATGTTGTAGTGGCCAGGCTTAGGCTTGGTTACAAGTACTTCTGGCAGTTTGGGAGACACAGATGATGATCAAACTAAATGTAAATTATGTGATCAGGCATATGGTCACTCTCTTGAACACTATGTGCTTAATTGTCCACTTATTGAGGAATACAGAGACAGACAGTATAATAACCTATGTGACATGTCAAGATATCTTATTAATGAAAATAAGATACCAGATATACTAAGCAAATTTCCTAAATTTGCTTGTAACAGATAAGTGAACTATAGATATGTAGATATAAATCCATATGTATTCCTGTTAACCCTTTGGGGCCTAGTTCCTAGGCCTTTTGTGTATCCATATGCTCTCGCGCTACCGTCCACAGGATGGATATGGGGTGCACAATAAACTAGCCACTTCGGTGGCAAAATCTAATCTATCTCTGACTCTTCTGTCTTGAAAACCAATCATTATCTCATGTTCACCCATAATAATTTAGGTTAAGCGTGTAGCATGGCATCTATAAGTGTGTGTTGTTGGCAGGGTAAATGCTTCAGTTGTGGTGAGGATGGCACCAGGTGTGCCAGCATGGGACTTTACGCAGACACCTGGCCAGGCAGAGGACAAGTTGGCCTCAAGCTGTACCTCACCACCGGCCCGGCAGACAATCTCTGCTGTAAGTATTGCTGCTATGCTATTACTCTAACCCATATTTTTTTTAAATGGGGATACATTATAGGTACAGATCATACACCTTGTACTACATAATATTTTCACTATAATCTTTGTTTCCTGGAGTTTACATGGAGAGAGTTCCGGGGGTCAACGCCCCCGCGGCCCGGTCTGTGACCAGGCCTCCTGGTGGATCAGAGCCTGATCAACCAGGCTGTTACTGCTGGCTGCACGTAAACCAACGTACGAGCCACAGCCCGGCTGGTCAGGAACCGACTTCAGGTGCTTGTCCAGTGCCAGCTTGAAGACTGCCAGGGGTCTGTTGGTAATCCCCCTTATGTATGCTGGGAGGCAGTTGAACAGTCTCGGGCCCCTGACACTTATTGTATGGTCTCTTAACGTGCTAGTGATACCCCTGCTTTTCATTGGGGGGATGTTGCATCGTCTGCCAAGTCTTTCGCTTTCGTAGTGAGTGATTTTCGTGTGCAAGTTCGGTACTAGGCCCTCTAGGATTTTCCAGGTGTATATAATCATGTATCTCTCCCGCCTGCGTTCCAGGGAGTACAGGTTCAGGAACCTCAAGCGCTCCCAGTAATTGAGGTGTTTTATCTCCGTTATGCGCACCGTGAAGGTTCTCTGTACATTTTCTAGGTCAGCAATTTCACCTGCCTTGAAAGGCGCTGTTAGTGTGCAGCAATATTCCAGCCTAGATAGAACAAGCGACCTGAAGAGTGTCATCATGGACTTGGCATCCCTAGTTTTGAAGGTTCTCATTATCCATCCTGTCATTTTTCTAGCAGATGCGATTGATACAATGTTATGGTCCTTGAAGGTGAGATTCTCCGACATGATCACTCCCAGGTCTTTGACGTTGGCGTTTCGCTCTATTTTGTGGCCAGAATTTGTTTTGTACTCTGATGAAGATTTAATTTCCTCGTGTTTACCATATCTGAGTAATTTAAATTTCTCATCGTTGAACCTCATATTGTTTTCTGCAGCCCACTGAAAGATTTGGTTGATGTCCGCCTGGAGCCTTGCAGTGTCTGCAATGGAAGACACTGTCATGCAGATTCGGGTGTCATCTGCAAAGGAAGACACGGTGCTGTGGCTGACATCCTTGTCTGTCAGATATGAGGATGAGGAACAAGATGGGAGCGAGTACTGTGCCTTGTGGAACAGAAGCTAATGAATAATATTTAAATATTATACCTGGAGGGTTTGGGGATCAATATCCCAGTGGCCCAGTCCGTGATCAGGCCTCGCAGTGGAACAAAGCCTGATCAACCAGGCTGTTACTGCTGGCCGCACGTAAATTGACGTACGAACCACAGTCCGGTTGGTCGGGTACTGACTTTAGGTGTCTATCCAGCTCCATCTTAAAGACAGCCAGGGGTCTGTTGGTAATCTCCCTTATGTATGCTGGGAGGAAGTTGAACAGGCTTGGGCCCCTGATACTTACTGTGATGTCTCTCAGCGTACTCGTGGCGCCCCTTCTTTTCACTGGGGGATGTTGCATCTCCTGCCGAGTCATTTGCTTTCGTACAGTGATTATCTTGTGCAGATTTTGGACCAGTCCCTCTAGGATTTTCCAAGGGTATATTATCATGTATTATTCTTCCCTGCATTCCAGAGACTTCAACCATTCCCAGTAACTTAGGTGCTTTATGGTACAGTCAACAAGAAAAATTATCATTTTACTTAATAAATTTCTTTCCTCTCCTCTTTCTTGTGCCACAGTGTTATACCTAACAAATTAAGCCAGATAGCATTTTTCCTTTGTTGAAACGCATATACTCCACAGTGTATCACTTCCGGCTGAGGATAAAATTAGAGAAGACAGGAAGAGAGAGCCCAGCAGGTCACCTCAGCATCTCCATCCTCACCTATGCTGGACACTCCTGGAGCTTTGATCTTACTAATGGGTGAGGAAACTAAGAAATCCTTAGAATTACTACAGCCCTTTAAATTATTGTACTTACTTTGTATAGAAGACATATGGATGATGGGCTAGCATTGCTTGAATGATGGCTAGTTAGAATATGCTTTGATATTCTCACCTTTACCAGTTGTGAAGTTTGTCTTGCCTGTGGTTCGAGAGTTCAAGTAGACATCCTTGTTTTAGTACTCATTTCTAGAGTTTTCTTCCCGCGTGATAGGAAGAATTTGTTCTTTTATCATTTCTTTTTCATGAAGCACTAAACCCATTGGCAATGGTCCAGGATGGACCTAAACGTCATCCTATCATTCCTCTCCTAAGTGGGGGTTTTTCATGTATTGTTCCAGCTATGGTTTTGTGACTTTTTATACTCCATGGGGACCATTTAGACCTTGGTAATAGAAGGTAATCGAGTATATCTCCAAAAAAACGAGGGTAGCTTCAGTTCTTTAGGTCAAGAAGCACTTTCACTGCATCAAGCCACTTTAAGGAAGTAATCTGATTACTCTCATGTTTTAATTATGCTCATATGTATTAACTTTAAACTTTTAATTCCCAACATGACAGATCTCCTGAAAGGTTTGAACATGGCAAGAGGTACACATTTGTGGTGGAACACGGGGAGGACTTGAGCAGGAGCCAGGCAGTCCACCTTACATGGACTGTGGAGGGTAGCTCCTGTTCCACCTGTGACTTCCCACTTCCCCTTTCCAGCGTCTCTATTCTTAATATGGAGAAATTTGTCCAGAGGTAAGGAAGGAGAGAGAGAATTTTTTTGAATGAGCCACAATACCGTGGCTGCAACCATTCACAACAAACCTACAGACAGAAAATGGTCCAGGATGAATTAAAATTTCTACCTGCTTTCATTTCTATTTTGTGAATTGGTTGGTCAATTAACTGGGGTTAAAGCCTACACTATAAACTACAGTTTCCTGATGTTCTGTGCAGGTTACCGAACTGACACCATTTCTTTATTATAATCATAACCAAGTGCTAAACCTGTAAGTATTTATCTATAGATAACATGCATATAAAGATGACCATACTCATTTTTAGTTATACCAAGAAAGGCGTGGTTATTGGGCATTTCTTAAGAACTGTCCATATCTCCAGTAACAGTCTTAGAAGAATTCTAGTACACTGCCCATGCCTTCACACGCTTACACTTCCCTCCTTTTATATAAAACTGCAATACGAATATATTCAAGAGACAATCACATGGACTGGGGTAGAAAAACACGAGTTGATCTAGAGAGAATCGAAGAATGATATATGCCACTGCATTGAAGCATCCTTAATTGCTACTTCCAATACCATAAAACAAAGAGGTGGCAAATACAGTGCTCGTCATGGCATTATGCTGGGTGAGCACCCTGGCATAATGCTGTGACGAAAATCAAAGGCCTACCATACAGGGGGGGTCTTTTCTTGTCAGTGTATTCTGCTGGGTAGCAGCTATTAGCATGAAGTCACGGCCTGCTGCCACACTTCACAGTGACTTCTCATTGCTCGTGTGGCTGCCGTGGTGAGAGGAAGTGTTGCACTGTTGTCTCATCTGCCCCACCTTTTGTTCAGTGTTCCCTTTGGTTTTGGGGCTATACACATTTGATTATGGGTAAAAGGAAGTCTTTAACACCTGAAACTATAGCTCATATAATAGGGCTTCACAAAACTGGGCACCAGAGTTAAGAAATACGTAGTGGAAAATGTTAGTGTGAGCGTTCAGCGAGGAACTGGGTGCAGATTTCAAGGTGGTGTCGAGTTACCATCTGCCAAACCTCAGTCTGGCCCCTCAAGGAAGACATCTGTTCATACTTTAACTGTGTTAAAGAAGCAGTTACTGATACCCAGCAGACTGCACTGGTGAAAAAAGACCCCCCTGTATGGTAGACCTTTGATTTTCATCACGGAGTTATGCAGGGGCGCTCGCCCAGCATAATGCCATAACGAGCACTTTATGTCTCTTCTAATCTTGCACCTCGATCATATTTTGCCCTCTTTGTGTTTCACCTTGGAAAGATCAGGTCAAAATTTTCAGCAGAAGGAACAGTTTCACTTTTGGTGCATATTAAACCAGCAAATAATAGAGCCTACTAGACTGGAGAATACACTAGACCTCATCTTCACTAACAATGATGATCTGATAAGAAATGTCACCATATCAAAAACAATATACTCAGATCACAGTGGCTCCCTAGTATATAGATGATAAAGGCTAAAGTGTCATTTGAAAACAGGTGAATTTGTAAATGAAGTGATAAGCCTATAGAGGCAGGTGCCAGAAGTCGCCAGAATCTTACCACAGTGGTGCCCAGGCCCATTCCTTAGGCCTCCGAGGCAATCTACCATCCTTCCTTAAGAACTTTTTAACTGACAGACATTTCCGTGTTCGAGTCAATAATGTTCTTTCCCCGGACTTCGTCCAAGCTGAAGGTGTCCCTCAGGGATGTGTTCTAAGCACAACACTTTTTCTCCTTGCTATAAATGATTTGGCCTCTGTTCTTCCACCCAATATTTGGTCATCACTCTATGTTGATGACTTCGCTATTGCTTGTGCAGGCGCTGACTGTCATCTTATTTCAGTTTCTCTCCAGCATGCGGTCGACCGTGTTTCCACTTGGGCCACCACGCATGGGTTTAAATTTTCAAGTACCAAAACTCACCAAATTACTTTCACTAGACGCTCTGTTATCTCCGATCATCCTTTGTATCTCTATGGCTCCCGTATCCCCGAACGTGATACAGTCAGGTTTCTAGGCCTTCTCTTTGACCGTAGGTTATCCTGGAAACCTCACATTACCTCTCTGAAGGCAACTTGTCACAGCCGGCTAAACCTTCTTAAAACCCTTGCTCATCTTTCCTGGGGAGCTGATCGTCGAACTCTGCTTCGCCTACATTCAGCCCTCGTTTTATCGAAACTCGATTATGGTGACCAGATTTATTCCGCGGCCTCTCCTGCTACTCTCTCTAGCCTTAACTCTATCCATCACCAAGGATTACGTTTGTGCCTTGGTGCTTTTCGCTCTTCCCCTGTTGAGAGCCTCTATGCAGAAGCGAATGTTCCATCCTTGTCTGATCGCCGTGATGCCCATTGCCTTCGCTACTATGTACGCTCTCACGATCTCCACAATCCTTCCATTTATAGAATGGTCACCGATATTAGTAGACATTCTTTATTCGTTCGCCGCCCGTTTGCTCCGTCCCTTTTCTCTTCGTCTACATTCACTCGTCTTCCCTTCAGTTACCACCTTTATATGTTCATGTAGCATCTCACTTTTCCCTACCCCCCTGGGAAGTTCCAGCTGTTCGGGTCTGTTCTTTCTCACTCCCTTGCTCGAAAGCTCAACTGCCTACGGTGGCTTCCCGCTCTCTTTTTCTTGATCACTTCCACTCCCATTCTCATGCCACCGCTGTGTACACAGATGGCTCTAAGTCTTCAGACGGCGTCGGATTCGCAGCAGTGTTTCCGGACAGCGTCGTGCGGGGGCATTTACTATCTTTGGCTAGCATTTTTACTGCTGAACTGTATGCCATTCTTGCAGCACTTATTCGTATCGCATCTATGCCTGTGTCATCATTTGTGGTAGTCTCAGACTCCCTTAGTGCTCTACAGGCTATACAAAAATTTGATACATCTCACCCCCTAGTTCTCCGTATCCAACTTTGGCTACGCTGTATCTCTATGAAGCATAGATATTATTTTTTGTTGGGTCCCTGGTCATGTCGACGTACAGGGCAATGAACAGGCAGACACTGCTGCGCGGTCAGCAGTACATGACCTACCAATTTCCTATAGAGGTGTTCCATTTCTGGACTATTTTGCTGCAATAGCTACCCACCTTCACGCCTGTTGGCAACAACGTTGGTCAACTCTGCTTGGTAACAAACTTCATTCTATTAAACCGAGCATAGGTTACTGGCCGTCTTCTTGTCATCAGTGCCGTGGTTGGGAGACCATTCTCTCCCGTCTTCGCATTGGCCACACTCGTCTTATTCATGGGTATCTCATGGAGAGGCACCCTGTACCTCTCTGTGAGCAGTGTCAAGTTCCAGTATCGATTAGCCACATTCTGTTAGACTCCCCTCTCTATCAACGAGCACGCAGAATTTACCTCCAGTGCCGTCTTCGTTCTACTACTCTCTCTTTACCTTCCCTTCTTGCTGATGGACCCTCCTTTAATCCTGACTCTCTCATTGACTTCTTGACAACAACTGATTTACTCCACAAACTCTGATGATGATACCTTACGCACTCCCCTCAGCCCTTTCTAGCTCAGTCTCTTGCTGCCCTTTACCCTTTCACCATCCACTGCTCCGCTGTTATCCGTAACCTATTACTCATCCACCTCCCTTTTGCCACCTGATGCCCTCGCTTCCTTCCTGCCCTGCAGCGCTGTATAACCCTTGTGGCTTAGCGCTTCTTTTTGATTATAATAATTACCACAGTGATCAGCTGTTTTAATAATCTTCCTGGCCTGCTAGTGTACTCACATATAATCTAGTGATACCAGTGAATAGCAGAATGCAGTGCTGTAGTAGCAACTAACCAGTATTATAATGGTACTTAGCGGAGTGGAGTGACTTTCATTAGTTTCTTTTTTCTTGAAATACCAGACATATACTGTGAATTTCATATAACCTGTAGTTACCAGTGGTCGCAATATACACAACGAGAAGCAATTATTACTACAGAAAAAGCGTCCTTCCTCCAAAATTTCCACCAGTCAACTATAGTGATAATACAGTATAGCATTTATTGTGGTGGAGACGAAAAAAAAACTAGAAAAGCTAGATAGTGATTGATAAACAAGGGTTGAGGCTCGACCGTTCGTCATTGTAGGAGCTGCCAGAAATCACCGGTTCTTCAACACACAAGTTATACTTTTGTATCAATCAAATCACATATTACTCGGGTAGATAATTTCCAGTAGATCCTTCATGTGTTAGCCCAAATCACCGACCAGTATGTTTTAAATAAGTGACCCACTGATCAGATCATATCAACTGGTCCGAACCCTCGACTGGTCCGAACCCTTGATGGTCCGAACCCTTGACCAGTTTCAAACGGATTCGTTGGACAATAAAGCAGACTGTAAACGCAGACTGTAAACACAAACAATAAATATAAATCAGGAACATACACGGTAAGCTGTCCAATATACAAGTACAGTTAGAAATAGAAATACAAATAGCTAGAGCTTCATTTAAGGAGGTTATTAATAGAATATTCAAGAGGTTGCTAGTAGAATTACAGTGAATCAACCATTCAAATCATTATGAAGCCCTGTGTAGTCTGCGGTCAATCAAACAAACGGGCTTCCACATGGATAAATTGTCATTTTTGTGGAAATTGGTGTCACGCCCCTTGTGCAGATATCCAAGAACTATCTACAAGCAGTATTAAAACAGGGAAGTGTTTTTGGGTATGCCCAAATGAGATAAATCTGTGGACTAAAATCACAAGGGTATTAAAAGAGGATAACATCAAAGCTGCTTTCATAGAAAACCTGGAAGCTTTCTACAACAGATGGGAACATAAAAAGTCTAGGCTGAATGGTACGGCCCTTGATACTGGCCATGTAGTCAGAAACTGTAAGGCTGGAGGTGATGTCCTGGTAGTCAGTAAATGTGGGGCTGATAGTGCTGTCCTGGGAGACAGTAATGGTGAAGCTGGAGGTGCTGTCCTGGGAGACAGTAATGGTGAAGCTGGAGGTGCTGTCCTGGGAGACAGTAATGGTGAAGCTGGAGGTGCTGTCCTGGGAGACAATAATGGTGAAGCTAGAGGTGCTGTCCTGGGAGACAGTAATGGTGAAGCTGGAGGTGCTGTCCTGGGAGACAGTAATGGTGAAGCTGGAGGTGCTGTCCTGGGAGACAGTAATGGTGAAGCTGGAGATTTTGTCCAGGTAGTCGGGAATTATACGCAGGAAGGAATACATATAAATGACCTCATAGGGGACAGGAGCCGTAGTAGGGAAACAAGTGTAGTCAAAGATAAGATAAAATCAATATTGCAAACTAGAAATACCACAGGAAATAGCAAACAAGAGGACTCCACTAGCAATAGTGAGGATATATTACCAAAAACAAATGGTGGGAGCTCCATTGTTGGTGCTAGGGAGGATAGGAATAAGACAGGGAAACATGCACCAACAGGGAATACAGTCACAGAAACCCAAGGCAAACGGAAACCAAGCCTGTGCACATACTATGCACTTATTTATTTATTTATTTAGTAATTTTAGCATACATACAGAGGTACAAAAAAATACAGGTAAGAGCAGCATGCCAAAGCCACTTACATGCATAGCATTACGGGCTGGCTTAAAATTAACTTAAGATTAACTAAGCAATGATGAAATCAGTGATAAGACATTATTGTAAACAGATAACTATAAAGCACAAATGAGTATTACAAAGACAGGTCATATGGTTGCATGCATTGCTGTTCATTCAGTAGAATGGAGTATTCTGTTAGGTAGTATATTTAAAAAAATAACAAAGTTAGATTGGGTCCTAGGTTTAACATTTATGTGATATAATTGTGCGAAACATTTTGGATATACAATTTATAAGGTTCAGTTATTCAGTATTTATTTGGTTTTGAGTGAGTAAGTGAACTTTGAGAAGAGACTTGGTATCTGCAGGCATGGGAAATCTGGAAAAACAGACGGGACGTGCAACTATGACCACCCTAGAAAATGCCATGCCCATATGACAACAGGAAAATGCAAACTCCCTTCCTGTAAGCTTTTTCACCCTGAACTGTGTACCTCTTCAGTACAGGAAAGACTGTGCTATAACTTAAATTGCCAGGCACACCATCTAAAGGGGACAAAAAGATACAAAACATCCAGGCCAAGGGAAAACCTGGGTAGCTACAGCCACTCAAGAGGGAGAGGTTTTTTAGTGCCAGGAAGGAAAAAACTGGCAGGAAATGGCAGAAATCGTACACCAAATCCAGTCATTCCTGGAGTGGAACCACAGTCGATGGCCTCCACTCCAAACCAACAGATACAGATACTAATGCTGGAAAAAAAATCATCCCCCCAGTACCAACAATACTGCTGCAGAGGCAAAGGCAATGTTCGCGGCTTTCACTGAGACCCACATAAAGGATCACTTGGACAACAAAATATGGATCCCAGGTTACAACCTATACAGATGTGACAGAGTGAACAGGCAAAAAGAAGGGGGGGGTTGGCCTGTACATTGCAGAGTCACTTGTTTGCACAGAACTGCTTAATGCCTCAAATGATGTAGTGGAAGTTTTAGCAGTAAAGGTCGAGAACCAAAACCTAGTCATTGTGGTAGTCTACAAGCCTCCGGACGCAACATCCCAGCAATTCCAGGAACAGCTGTTAAAAATTGACCACTGTCTGGAAAATCTAACAGCTCCTGCACCCAACATCTTGCTCATGGGGGATTTCAACTTAAGGCACCTAAAATGGAGGAATATAGCAAATAATATTGTTGCAGTAATAACACCAGGAGGCAGCTCTGATGAAAACTCACACTCACACGAGCTTTTAAATCTCTGCACAAAATTAAATTTAAACCAGCAAATAATAGAGCCTACTAGACTGGAGAATACACTAGACCTCATCTTCACTAACAATGATGATCTGATAAGAAATGTCACCATATCAAAAACAATATACTCAGATCACAAAATAATTGAGGTTCAGACATGTATGCGTGGAGCCCCAGACCGACATAATGAGACTAGTCACGAGGGAGCATTTACCAAATTCAACTTCAATAACAAAAACAAAGTGGGACCAAGTAAACACAGAGAGTAGTAAACAGAGTAAAGTACGAGGCAGGCACGGTGAAAAGCTCTGTTCCACAAGGCACAGTACTCGCTCCCATCTTGTTCCTCATCCTCATATCCGACATAGACAAGGATGTCAGCCACAGCACCGTGTCTTCCTTTGCAGATGACACCCGAATCTGCATGACAGTGTCTTCCATTGCAGACACTGCAAGGCTCCAGGCGGACATCAACCGAATCTTTCAGTGGGCTGCAGAAAACAATATGAAGTTCAACGATGAGAAATTTCAATTACTCAGATATGGTAAACACGAGGAAATTAAATCCTCATCAGAGTACAAAACAAATTCTGGCCACAAAATAGAGCGAAACATCAACGTCAAAGGCCTGGGAGTGATCATGTCGGAGGACCTCACCTTCAAGGACCATAACATTGTATCAATCGCATCTGCTAGAAAAATGACAGGATGGATAATGAAAACCTTCAAAACTAGGGAGGCCAAGCCCATGATGACACTCTTCAGGTCACTTGTTCTATCTAGGCTGGAATATTGCTGCACACTAACAGCACCTTTCAAGGCAGGTGAAATTGCTGACCTAGAAAATGTACAGAGAACCTTCACGGTGCGCATAACGGAGATAAAACACCTCAATTACTGGGAGCGCTTGAGGTTCCTAAACCTGTATTCCCTGGAACGCAGGCGGGAGAGATACATGATTATATACACCTGGAAAATCCTAGAGGGACTAGTACCGAACTTGCACACGAAAATCACTCACTACAAAAGCAAAAGACTTGGCAGACGATGCAACATCCCCCCAATGAAAAGCAGAGGTGTCACTAGCACGTTAAGAGACCATACAATAAGTGTCAGGGGCCCGAGACTGTTCAACTGCCTCTCAGCATACATAAGGGGGATTACCAACAGACCTCTGGCAGTCTTCAAGCTGGGGCTGGACAAGCACCTAAAGTCGGTTCCTGACCAGCCGGACTGTGGCTCGTACGTTGGTTTGCGTGCTGCCAGCAGCAACAGCCTGGTTGATCAGGCTCTGATCCACCAGGAGGCCTGATCACAGACCGGGCCGCGGGGGCGTTGACCCCCGGAACTCTCTCCAGGTAAACTCCAGGTATTCTCTATGATTTCTTGTACGAAAGTGAATTAGATCTATTTTCACTTTCCTTTTTACTTCACAGTAGCAATAATCCTAGGTAGTAGGTTGGTAGACAGCAACCGCCCAGGGAGGCACTACCGTCCTGCCAAGTGAGTGTAAAACGAAAGCCTGTAATTGTTTTACATGATGGTAGGATTGCTGGTGTCCGTTTTTCTCTCTCATAAACATGCAAGATTTCAGGTACATCTTGCTACTTCTACTTACACTTAGGTCACACTTGACATACATGTACAAGCATATATATACACACCCCTCTGGGTTTTCTTACTAGTTCCTGTCCTTTGTTTATTTCCTCTTATCTCCATGGGGAAGTGGAACAGAATTCTTCCTCCGTAAGCCATGCGTGTTGTAAGAGGCGACTAAAATGCCGTGAGCAAGGGGCTGGTAACCCCTTCTCCTGTATATACTACTAAATGTAAAAGGAGAAACTTTCATTTTTCCTTTTGGGCCACCCCGCCTCGGTGGGATAAGGCCGGTGTGTTGAAAGAAAGAAAGTAGCAATAATTTGCCCTTTAACGTTTTTGAGTTATCCTAGAATAAAATTACTGTATAAAGAAATTGCAAGTTTCAAAGTCTAAATGAAAACCAAGCATCATTGCTGCCAGCACCTCTAATGTCTGGTTCTGCATGACACATACCTACTTAACCCTTTCTTGTAAATATAATAATCCCTACAATGAATATATGATTACAAAACCTGACGATCTGTTGGAGTGTGAGCAGGGTAATATTTAGTGAAGGGATTCAGGGAAACCAGTTATTTTTGTATAGCCGGACTTGAGTCCTGGAAATGGGAAGTACAATGTTGCCTGCACTCTAAAGGAGGGTTTGGGATATTGGCAGTTTGGAGGGATATGTTGTTTATCTTTATACGTATATTCTTCTAAACTGTTGTGTTCTGAGCACCTCTGCAAAAACAGTGATTATGTGTGAGTGTGGTGAAAGTGTTGAATGATGATGAAAGTATTTTCTTTTTGAGGATTTTCTTTCTTTTTGGGTCACCCTGCCTCGGTGGGAGACGGCCGACTTGTTAAAAAAAGCAAAAGAAAAAAAAAAAAAAAGTAATTTGTGTTGAATGAATAACTTTATCCTTTACACCTACAGCCGAAAGTTGATTGGTGGGTTGAAGCTGAGGTCAGAGGAGGTGGTGCTATGCCCTGGAGGTACAAAGAGCGTCGTCCTGGTGGGAAGTGGAGACACCATCCAGCTACTGGCTTCACCCACTTGCTTCACCACTTGACACCCTCTCTTAGATGATAGCAAACACTTGAGTGCTTCCCCAGACCCACATCCATAATACAGTAACCAGCTCAGTGTGGGGAGTGTAATGGCAACAGGTATATGGACAAAGATTCAAGTACATATGCAGAACAACGCTTTATGCAGACATTTTGTCCGAATCATGTTTGAAATGCTCTATTTAGAGCAAACCACTTCCAAACAGAGGCTTGTTTTGCACACTCTTGTCTTCATCCATACAGCTGATTTAAACTTTCTCAATCAGATCTCACTATAGACAACAAATGCTGTGTACAAAACTGGGCTAAATATGTTAATGTACATATATTAATGTTAATACCAAAGCTATGGCTCAACCTAATATTGTGTATGTAAAATGGAAATAAATATTCAGTGCCATGAATACTTATGCTTTATTATTTTCCATGTACTGAAGAAATCATACATATTCAATAAGTAGAAAATTCACACTTTTGTGAACATGGCATATTAAGTAATAACATGAAGGTCAGTGCTAAAAGTAACAGGATAAATTAAGCAAACCTATTATATAGGATTGACTTCTATAACTTTGGCCAGAGAAACTACTTCCACAACTCTGGTCACAGGTATGATTTCCACAACACACTGCAGCGCTGTATAGCCCTTGTGGCTTAGCGCTTCTTTTTGATTATAATAATAATCCACAACACACTGGCCATTTCTCTGACTCCATGACTACTTTCACTGGTGGGTTCTGCTCACCTTTGACAATGTCTACAACTACTACAATTCTCCACCTCTTCTACTAGTGTCATCATGGCCCTGTATTAGAGAAAATACCGGTTTCTACTGGTGAAGTATGTCTCCAGTGAAGATATTCAGGTGTTGCACACATGTCTTATCAACTTGGGTACTGTATATCTAATGTAATATTTCATTGCCGAATTGCAGAATAACTAGATTGTTCCAACCATGATATAATGACACTCTTCACTGCTTGATCTCCCAGGGAATGTTGGTCTTTGCATCTACACAATAACAGACCATGGTTTAAAGGTTCCAGGAACTGCTGGTTTAATCTGTTAAGAAACATTGTACATTTAAGATCCGTAAGAGCCAAAGGTAAAAAATATGTAAATTAACAATCTGTACGAGCCAAGTGTAAGAAATCTGTAATGATCCCTTTCCCCTGAAAATCTTTATTGGTTGTTTACCTTCTTAGTGATGAAGTCCTGACATGCCATGCGGATCCGCTCAGCTGTGGCAGGGGAATCCAGACGGAATACGGGGTCAAGGTTTTGCTCAGCTCGAGCTGCAGCTACTGCTTCTTTGATAGCAAAGAAAACTGAGGCAGCCAGGAAGAGAGGTGGCTCACCAACAGCCTGCAAAGATCATCAAGCTTGCCTTTAGAGATTGCTATTCACAACTAACCCACACTTTGTATTAAATGGTTAAAGCCAACTAAAATGTAAAATATGACCCTTGTCATTACATGACAATTTGCCTTAAATAGTGCTTATGTCCATACAGATTTGATAAAGACTGTTTCAAGATGACACTTTGGACATCCTGGACAATTACCAAGCTACAACTGTGAAATGAATTGCTCCAGACACAGTATAGTGATTGTTATTCCTTGTACTACAGTCTATTCATATTTACCTATACATGAGGTAGTAGGTTGGTAGACAGCAACCACCCAGGGAGGTACTACCGTCCTGCCAAGTGAGTGTAAAACGAAAGCCTGTAATTGTTTTACATGATGGTAGGATTGCTGGTGTCTTTTGTCTGTCTCATAAATATGCAAGATTACAGGTATGTCTTGCTACTTCTACTTACACTTAGGTCACACTACACATACATGTACACATATATTTATACACACTCATCAGAGTTTTCTTTGATTTTATCTTAATAGTTCTTGGTCTTATTACTTTTCCTTTTATATCCATGGGGAAGTGGAATAAGAATCTTTCCTCCGTAAGCCATGCGTGTTGTAAAAGTCAACTAAAATGCTGGGAACAATGGGTTAGTAACCCCTTTTCCTGTAAAGATTACTAAAAAGAATAAGAAGAAGAAAATTGTCAAAGTGGGAAGTCTGAATGTGCGTGGATATTGTGCAAATGATAAGAAAGAGATGATTGTGGATGTTATGAATGAGAAGAAGCTTTAAGTGAAACAAAGCTGAAGGGGGTGGGAGAGTTTCAATGGAGAGGAATAAATGGGATTAGGTCAGGGGTTTCAAATAGAGTTAGAGCCTAAGAAGGAGTAGCAATAATGTTGAAGGATAAGCTATGGCAGGAAAAGAGGGACTATAAATGTATTAATTCAAGGATCATGTAGAGTAAAATAAAGATTGGATGTGAAAAGTGGGTTATAGTAAGTGTGTATGCACCTGGAGAAGAGAGAAGTGTAGAGGAGAGAGAGAGATTTTGGGAAATGTTGAGTGAATGCGTGGGGAGTTTTGAATCAAGTGTGAGAGTAATGGTGGTTGGGGATTTCAATGCTGAAGTGGGTAAAAATGTTATGGAGGGAGTAGTAAGTAAATTTGGGGTGCCAGGGGTAAATGTAAATGGGGAGCTTTTAATTGAGCTATGTGTTGAAAGAGATTTGGCAATAAGTAATACATATTTTATGAAAAAGAGGATAAATAAATATACATGGTATGATGTAGCACGTAATGAAAGTAGTTTGTTAGATTATGTATTGGTGGATAAAAGGTTGATGGGTAGGCTCCAGGATGTACATGTTTATAGAGGGGCAACTGATATATCGGATCATTATTTAGTTGTAGCTACAGTTAGAGTAAGAGGTAGATAGGAAAAAGAGGAAGGTGGCAACAACAAGTAAGAGGGAGGTGAAAGTGTATAAACTAAGGGAGGAGGAAGTTCGGGTGAAATACAAGCGAATATTGGCAGAAAGGTGGGCTAGTGCAAAGATGAGTAGTGGAGGGGTTGAAGAGGGTTGGAATAGTTTTAAAAATGCAGTATTAGAATGTGGGGCAGAAGTTTGTGGTTATAGGAGGGTGGGGGCAGGAGGAAAGAGGAGTGATTGGTGGAATGATGAAGTAAAGGGTGTGATAAAAGAGAAAAAGGTAGCTTATGAGAGGTTTTTACAAAGCAGAAGTGTTATAAGAAGAGTAGAGTATATGGAGAGTAAAAGAAAGTGGTGAGAGAGTGCAAAAGGAGAGCAGATGATAGAGTGGGAGAGGCATTGTCAAGAAATTTTAATGAAAATAAAAAAAAATTTGGAGTGAGTTAAACAAGTTAAGAAAGCCTAGGGAAAGCATGGATTTGTCAGTTAAAAACAGAGTAGGGGTGTTAGTAGATGGGGAGAGGGAGGTATTAGGTAGATGGCGAGAATATTTCGAGGAACTTTTAAATGTTGAGCAAGAAAAGGAGGCGGTAATTTCATGCACTGGCCAGGGAGGTATACCATCTTTTATGAGTGAAGAAGAGCAGAATGTAAGTGTGGGGAAGGTACGTACCTGGAGTTTACCTGGAGAGAGTTCCGGGGGTCAACGCCCCCGCGGCCTGGTCTGTGACCAGGCCTCCTGGTGGATCAGAGCCTGATCAACCAGGCTGTTACTGCTGGCTGCACGCATACCAACGTACGAGCCACAGCCCGGCTGGTGAGGAACCGACTTTAGGTGCTTGTCCAGTGCCAGCTTGAAGACTGCCAGAGGTCTGTTGGTAATCCCCCTTATGTATGCTGGGAGGCAGTTGAACAGTCTCGGGCCCCTGACACTTATTGTATAGTCTCTTAACGTGCTAGTGACACCCCTGCTTTTCATTGGGGGGATGTTGCATTGTCTGCCAAGTCTTTTGCTTTCGTAGTGAGTGATTTTCGTGTGCAAGTTCGGTACTAGTCCCTCTAGGATTTTCCAGGTGTATATAATCATGTATCTCTCCCGCCTGCATTCCAGGGAATACAGGTTTAGGAACCTCAAGCGCTCCCAGTAATTGAGGTGTTTTATCTCCGTTATGCGCGCCGTGAAGGTTCTCTGTACATTTTCTAGGTCAGCAATTTCACCTGCCTTGAAAGGTGCTGTTAGTGTGCAGCAATATTCCAGCCTAGATAGAACAAGTGACCTGAAGAGTGTCATCATGGGCTTGGCCTCCCTAGTTTTGAAGGTTCTCATTATCCATCCTGTCATTTTTCTAGCAGATGCGATTGATACAATGTTATGGTCCTTGAAGGTGAGATCCTCCGACGTGATCACTCCCAGGTCTTTGACGTTGGTGTTTCGCTCTATTTTGTGGCCAGAATTTGTTTTGTACTCTGATGAAGATTTAATTTCCTCGTGTTTACCATATCTGAGTAATTGAAATTTCTCATCGTTGAACTTCATATTGTTTTCTGCAGCCCACTGAAAGATTTGGTTGATGTCCGCCTGGAGCCTTGCAGTGTCTGCAATGGAAGACACTGTCATGCAGATTCGGGTGTCATCTGCAAAGGAAGACACGGTGCTGTGGCTGACATCCTGGTCTATGTCGGATATGAGGATGAGGAACAAGATGGGAGCGAGTACTGTGCCTTGTGGAACAGAGCTTTTCACCGTAGCTGCCTCGGACTTTACTCTGTTGACGACTACTCTCTGTGTTCTGTTAGTGAGGAAATTATAGATCCATCGACCGACTTTTCCTGTTATTCCTTTAGCACGCATTTTGTGTGCCATTACGCCATGGTCACACTTGTCGAAGGCTTTTGCAAAGTCTGTATATGTTACATCTGCATTCTTTTTCTCTTCTAGTGCATCTAGGACCTTGTCGTAGTGATCCAATAGTTGAGACAGACAGGAGCGACCTGTTCTAAACCCATGTTGCCCTGGGTTGTGTAACTGATCTGTTTCTAGATGGGTGGTGATCTTCCTTCTTAGGACCCTTTCAAAGATTTTTATGATATGGGATGTTAGTGCTATCGGTCTGTAGTTCTTTGCTGTTACTTTACTGCCCCCTTTGTGGAGTGGGGCTATGTCTGTTGTTTTTAGTAACTGTGGGACGACCCCCGTGTCCATGCTCCCTCTCCATAGGATGGAAAAGGCTCGTGATAGGGGTTTCTTGCAGTTCTTGATGAACAGAGTTCCACGAGTCTGGCCCTGGGACAGAGTGCATGGGCATGTCATTTATCGCCTGTTCTAAGTCATTTGGTGTCAGGATAACATCGGATAGGCTTGTGGCTCTCTCATAAAAAATTTATTTTGATCTTCGACTCTCAGTCTGGTTAGCGGCTTGCTAAAAACTGAGTCATATTGGGACTTGAGTAGCTCACTCATTTCCTTGCTGTCATCTGTGTAGGGCCCATCTTGTTTAAGTAGGGGCCCAATACTGGACATTGTTCTCGACTTTGATTTGGCATAGGAGAAGAAATATTTTGGGTTTCTTTCGATTTCATTTATGGCTTTTGGTTCGTCCCGCGATTCCTGACTCCTATAAGATTCCTTTAGCTTAAGTTCGATGCTTGCTATTTCTCTGACCAGTGTCTCCCTACGCATTTCAGATATATTGACCTCTTTTAGCCGCTCTGTTATTCTTTTCCATTGCCTGTAAAGGGAGCGCCTGTCTCTTTCTATTTTACATCTACTCCTCCTTTTTCTTAGAGGAATAAGCCTTGTGCATACATCGAGTGCCACCAAATTAATCTGTTCTAGGCATAAGTTGGGGTCTGTGTTGCTTAGTATATCTTCCCACCTTATATCAGTTAGGACTTGGTTTACTTGGTCCCACTTTATGTTTTTGTTATTGAAGTTGAATTTGTTGAATGCTCCCTCGTGACTAGTCTCATTATGTCGGTCTGGGGCTCCACGCATACATGTCTGAACCTCAATTATGTTGTGATCTGAGTATATTGTTTTTGATATGGTGACATTTCTTATCAGATCATCATTGTTAGTGAAGATGAGGTCTACTGTACTCTCCAGTCTAGTAGGCTCTATTATTTGCTGGTTTAAATTGAATTTTGTGCAGAGATTTAAAAGCTCGTGTGAGTGTGAGTTTTCATCAGAGCTGCCTCCTGGTGTTATTACTGCAACAATATTATTTGCTATATTCCTCCATTTTAGGTGCCTTAAGTTGAAATCCCCCAGGAGCAAGATGTTGGGTGCAGGAGCTGGAAGATTTTCCAGACAGTGGTCAATTTTAAACAGCTGTTCCTGGAATTGCTGGGATGTTGTATCTGGAGGCTTGTAGACTACCACAATGACTAGGTTTTGGTTCTCGACCTTTACTGCTAAAACTTCCACTACATCATTTGAGGCATTAAGCAGTTCTGTGCAAACAAGTGACTCTGCAATGTACAGGCCAACCTCCCCCCCCCCTTTTGCCTGTTTACTCTGTCACAACTGTATAGGTTGTAACCTGGGATCCATATTTTGTTGTCCAAGTGATCCTTTATGTGGGTCTCAGCGAAAGCCGCGAACATTGCCTTTGCCTCTGCAAGCAGTCCACGGATGAAAGGTATTTTGTTGTTTGTTGCTGGCTTTAGACCCTGTATATTTGCAAAGAAGAATGTCATCGGACTGGTGGAATTGTTGGCACTGGGGGGGGGGGCATTACGTAGAATGAAAGGGGGTAAAGCAGTTGGAACTGATGGGATCATGACAGAAATGTTAGAAGCAGGGGGGGATATAGTGTTGGAGTGGTTGGTACTTTTGTTTAATAAATATATGAAAGAGGGGAAGGTACCTAGGGATTGGCGGAGAGCATGTATAGTCCCTTTATATAAAGGGAAAGGGGACAAAAGAGACTGTAAAAATTATAGAGGAATAAGTTTACTGAGTATACCAGGAAAAGTGTACAGTAGGGTTATAATTGAAAGAATTAGAGGTAAGACAGAATGTAGGATTGCGGATGAGCAAGGGGGTTTCAGAGTGGGTAGGGGATGTGTGGATCAAGTGTTTACATTGAAGCATATATGTGAACAGTATTTAGATAAAGGTTGGGAAGTTTTTATTGCATTTATGGATTTAGAAAAGGCATATGATAGAGTGGATAGAGGAGCAATGTGGCAGATGTTGCAAGTATATGGAATAGGTGGTAAGTTACTAAATGCTGTAAAGAGTTTTTATGAGGATAGCGAGGCTCAGGTTAGGGTGTGTAGAAGAGAGGGAGACTACTTCCCGGTAAAAGTAGTTCTTAGACAGGGATTTTCTTTCTTTTTTGGGTCACCCTTCCTCGGTGGGAGATGGCCGACTTGTTGAAAAAAAAAAAAAAAATGTACATATCTTTAAAGTTCAGATGAACATTTTACTGAACAGCATAAACAAAGTAAAAAAAATAATGGATATTCATCTGAGAAACACTGATGTTATAGTATTCCAAAAGGTATCTGAAATAAGATTATGTTTAGGAAATATTCAATATAAAACAACCACGGAGCCTAACCTTGGACGAGAAGACAGCTCGTGGGTTAGGCGCTCCTCGCAGAAGGGAGACATTAAATTCTCTTGGTATGTCTTGGAAACCTGTGAATGATACCAGTTAGTGGTAGTCTCTTACATTATTAAAAATTTTCTTATGATCTTATTATATAAAAATATTGAAGAATTTTGTATTTTCTTCTGGTGGGGCACTGATCTAAGGTAACTGGCCTAGAATACAGTCGCTCAGGGAAACTGTAATTGAAGAAAATCGTCCAAAACGTCTGGTTATTGTCTACTATAACTATCATTAAATGCACCAAACTGAAGAGGAAGAAGTAAGGGTTTAATCCAGTGGAAATTATCACTGTACCAACATAAACAGGTTTTAGTAGCTCTTACTGAATTCATTTAATTTTGAAAGACTCAGAATGCAGATTTTATGGTTCAGACAATTGCCAATAAGAACTCAGTAATATAATTCTCATGGACACCACAAAACCGAAGATTGGGAATGGGAAATGAACAATATTTCACTTTGTCCTGGACTATCAAGAAGTAACTTAAAAAGCCAAGAAATACCAGGTCTAGTTCCCATTATTTAATATGAATTAGTTATAAAATGCTGTATGATCCCCATTGGTTAAGTATTCTCCCATAGGTATAATATTAATAATTTCCTAATTTATACATCCTTTGAGTAAAACATTTCATTTATCAACATGTACAGCAACTTGTGGAGACTGTCTTACCAGGTATCTTGTACATTCCTGGGCCGCGAGTGAGAAGGACACCCTCAGGAGAGTAGCACAGCTCCTCCAGGGTGTAGAGACCCATACCCTGCATGAAAGCCCCTTCCACCTGCCCTATGTCTATGGCAGGGTTGAGAGATTCACCCACGTCCATCACTATGTCTGTTCGCAGCACCTGCTCATTAAGAAACAGTGAAGAGTTTTTCACATACAGTGGAACCTCTACTTATGAGTGCATCCACATGCGAGTTTTTCCAGATACAAGCAGCTGCTTGGGCGATTTTTTGCTTCCGGATGCGAGCAAAATTTCCAGATGCGAGCGGGCATCAAGGGAGGTTAATTGCCACCAGTGAGGGGGCTCTTGCTCTTGATCTAGGGAATTGGATCTCAATGTTTGTTGGACTATCTTACTGAAACTTGGGCAATGTATGATGAAAAGATGCTTCTTAACGTACACCAAAAATGAAAGAAATCGGACCATAAATAACGGAGTTCACTTCTCAGCAGTTAGCCTCCCATTAGCGGTATATTTTCATATGGATTTTATGGTTGTATTCTCGTTCTATTTGGTCTTGTGTGATAGAATGGAAGATATACTACAAAAATAAACATGATTTTCAATGGTTTCAAGATGAAAAGTACCATGAAGTTGAGCTCAAAATAGCAGAAATGTTCGATTCTTTGGCGACATAAGTGGTAGACATCATGAGGAAGCAGTGGCAGACAACATGAAGCAGCAGTGGCAGACATCATGAGGAAGCCGTGGCAGACAACATGAAGCAGCAGTGGCAGACATCATGAGGTAGCAGTGGCAGACACCATGAAGTAGCAGTGGCAGACACCATGAAGTAGCAGTGGCAGACACCATGAAGTAGCAGTGGCAGACACCATGAAGTAGCAGTGGCAGACATCATGAGGTAGCAGTGGCAGACACCATGAAGTAGCAGTGGCAGACAACATGAGGTAGCAGTGGCAGACAACATGAGGTAGCAGTGGCAGACAACACGAGAGCGGTAGCAGCAGTGGCAGACAACATGAGGTAGCAGTGGCAGACAACATGAAGCAGCAGTGGCAGACAACATGAAGCAGCAGTGGCAGACAACATGAAGCAGCAGTGGCAGACAACATGAAGCAGCAGTGGCAGACAACAAGAAGCAGCAGTGGCTGACAACATAAAGCAGCAGTGGCTGACAACATAAAGCAGCAGTGGCAGACAACATGAAGCAGCAGTGGCAGACAACAAAGCAGCAGTGGCAGACAACATGAAGCAGCAGTGGCAGACAACAAAGCAGCAGTGGCAGACAACATAAAGCAGCAGTGGCAGACAACATAAAGCAGCAGTGGCAGACAACATGAAGCAGCAGTGGCTGACAACATAAAGCAGCAGTGGCAGACAACAAGAAGCAGCAGTGGCAGACAACATAAAGCAGCAGTGGCAGACAACATGAAGCAGCAGTGGCTGACAACATGAAGCAGCAGTGGCTGACAACATAAAGCAGCAGTGGCAGACAACATGAAGCAGCAGTGGCTGACAACATAAGCAGCAGTGGCAGACAACATGAAGCAGCAGTGGCAGACAACATAAAGCAGCAGTGGCAGACAACATGAAGCAGCAGTGGCTGACAACATGAAGCAGCAGTGGCTGACAACATGAAGCAGCAGTGGCAGACAACGAAGCAGCAGTGGCTGACAACATAAAGCAGCAGTGGCTGACAACATGAAGCAGCAGTGGCTGACAACATGAAGCAGCAGTGGCAGACAACATGAAGCAGCAGTGGCTGACAACATAAAGCAGCATTGGCAGACAACAAGAAGCAGCAGTGGCAGACAACATAAAGCAGCAGTGGCAGACAACATGAAGCAGCAGTGGCTGACAACATAAAGCAGCAGTGGCAGACAACATGAAGCAGCAGTGGCAGACAACATGAAGCAGCAGTGGCAGACAACAAAGCAGCAGTGGCAGACAACATAAAGCAGCAGTGGCAGACAACATAAAGCAGCAGTGGCAGACAACATGAAGCAGCAGTGGCAGACAACATGAAGCAGCAGTGGCAGACAACATTAAGCAGCAGTGGCAGACAACATTAAGCAGTGGCAGACAACATTAAGCAGTGGCAGACATGAAGCAGCAGTGGCAAAGTGTAGCATTAAGTGTGTAGCAATTAAGTGTAACAATTAAGTGAAGTATTAAGAGTGTAGGACTTATAAGTCACTCTGTCTGACTTTTCTGGGTTATCCTAGGTTCTCTACACATGTAGTCAGGAGCAGGAATGGCCACTGTGGTGGCCCTATAAACCCCAACAACAATGGCTGCTGTCACTACCACTAGCCACATACCTAATGACATGTATTTTATTCATTCTAGTGTATATATCATGTTTCTATGTTATTAGTATTGTGTAGTATGTCATATTACATGAATTGTGATAGATAAATAAGCTGTAGAGTTGATATTGGGGAAATTATTAAAGTATTTTCTCGTGCCTGGAATTCCACTGGAACGAATTAATTCCATTTCAGTTAATTTAAATGAGGAAAACTGACTCTGCAAACGAGCAAATCCAGTTGCGAGCAAGGTCATGGAATGGATTAAACTCGTAAGTAGAGGTTCCACTGTATATGTAGAAGTCAGTCAATAAGAGACAAGCCATTCCTGTGTAACAATGAACAGTCAGTAGAATTATTTTATTGCTAGTTTTAATTTATATTTTTCTCTTTTATTTACATTTGATGTTTAGGTCTGGTTCTTATAACTGATTTTCTATGATTATGTACAGTGCTTGATGAAGCATGTTAATTTCAAAACCAGTTATGAATAAATATTTCATGTAGCAGTGTTGATTTTCATCTTATACACACTCCAAGTTATCCTATTTTGCTCCATCTTCTCTAAATAACCAAACCTCAACAACCCCTCCTCAGCCCTCTGAATAATACATTTAGTAACTCCACACCTCTTCCTAATTTCCACACAAAGAATTCTCTGCATAAAATACATATATGCCCTTAGACATGACATCTCCACTGCTTCCAGCCTCCTCCTTGTTATAACATTCACAACCCATGCTTCACACCCATATAAGAATGCTGGTAGCATTATACTCTCTTTGCTTCAATGAATAATGTTCTTTGTCTCCACAAGTACCTCAATGCACCACCCACCTTTCTTCCTTCATTATTCATCTGCAGGAACCGAGCCATCACAGGGAGTGGTGAGTAACCTCTGACCATCACATATACAGGGGACTCACCTGCAGGAACGACACCATCACACATACTGGTAACTCACCGAGTGATCTCCTGTAAGACAATCCACTTCCACCTCTGTCACTGCAGCTCCATATGAGTAATAACTGAAGAGTTGACCTTCGAGTGTCTCAAAATTGAATTTTGAGATGAGAGGAGTTCTGTAAAGAATGATGCTTCTTGTCTACAACCGAGCATTGTTTCACTATTATTAATGTATTCATTGAGAAGTGTTACAGGTCAAAAATGTTATTAACACCTGCCAATATGTGAGAAACTTAACTTCAGTTCCTTGGAACAAGAGCCCTTCCCCAGCATCAAGACACCCCACTTCCCCTTTCCCACACTGTTTCTGTTCTTGAAGGAAACCGTCTCAAAACTTGGCGCTAAACCCAACACCATTCAGTGTAAAATTTAACTTGAAAAGAATCTAACACTGGCTCATTACTGAAAGGAGGCAAGTGCCTTAATGACAGAACAATCCTCTCCTTCCTCAGATCAGACCTAATTACTTCCCATTTCTCAGGCATTGTATGAGCCCTTACAAATTTAGTACTTTCTCACTGTTATTTTTTTTTATTATCACACTGGCCGACTCCCACCAAGGCAGGGTGGCCCGAAAAAGAAAAACTCTCACCATCATTCACTCCATCACTGTCTTGCCAGAAGGGTGCCCCACACTACAGTTTTTAAACTGCAACATTAACACCCCTCCTTCAGAGTGCAGGCACTGTACTTCCCATCTCCAGGACTCAAGTCCGGCCTGCCGGTTTCCCTGAATCCCTTCATAAATGTTACTTTGCTCACACTCCAACAGCACGTCAAGTATTAAAAACCATTTGTCTCCATTCACTCCTATCAAACACGCTCACGCATGCCTGCTGGAAGTCCAAGCCCCTCGCACACAAAACCTCCTTTAACCCCCTCCCTCCAACCTTTCCTAGGCCGACCCCCACCCCGCCTTCCTTCCACTACAGACTGATACACTCTTGAAGTCATTCTGTTTCGCTCCATTCTCTCTACATGTCCGAACCACCTCAACAACCCTTCCTCAGCCCTCTGGACAACAGTTTTGGTAATCCCGCACCTCCTCCTAACTTCCAAACTATGAATTTTCTGCATTATATTCACACCACACATTGCCCTCAGACATGACATCTCCACTGCCTCCAGCCTTCTCCTCGCTGCAACATCATCACCCACGCTTCACACCCATATAAGAGCGTTGGTAAAACTATACTCTCATACATTCCCCTCCTTTGCCTCCAAGGACAAAGTTCTTTGTCTCCACAGACTCCTAAGTGCACCACTCACTCTTTTTCCCTCATCAATTCTATGATCACCTCATCTTTCATAGACCCATCCGCTGAACACGTCCACTCCCAAATATCTGAATACGTTCACCTCCTCCATACTCTCTCCCTCCAATCTGATATCCAATCTTTCATCACCTAAATCTTTTTGTTATCCTCATAACCTTACTCTTTCCTGTATTCACCTTTAATTTTCTTCTTTGCACACCCTACCAAATTCATCCACCAATCTCTGCAACTTCTCTTCAGAATCTCCCAAGAGCACAGTGTCATCAGCAAAGAGCAGCTGTGACAACTCCCACTTTGTGTGTGATTCTTTATCTTTTAACTCCACGCCTCTTGCCAAGACCTCGCATTTACTTCTCTTACAACCCCATCTATAAATATATTAAACAACCACGGTGACATCACCACATCCTTGTCTAAGGCCTAATTTTACTGGGAAAAAATTTCCCTCTTTCCTACATACTCTAACTTGAGTCGTAGGAGTCTTCTGGCAGGGCTGCATCTGCTCTTGTTGCCACCTCCCTAGTTAAGAACGATAATAAATTTGTTGAGTTAGGCATAAGAACTTAACAACTGGGCGTTCTACACTGCAAACTGAATTTTTGCAATCCTAATGGCGCTAAAGCTAAGCAGTGACAAACTGAGCTACTCTCATCCATCATTCTATCTCATGTCTTGGAAGGCTTGGCACTCATTTTAATGAACCATAACAACAGCTCATTGGGGAAGCAGGTCATGTACTCAAAATTAGGACAAGGACTCTTTCAATCCTCTATGTTACTTCTCACACTCCAACAGCACGGATTAACCCCTTTGATAAATTATATGTAGCCAAGAGAGCTACGAGAAGGGAAGCTCGACACAAAACCTTTTTCTCAACTTGTCTAGCACCTAGGAACTATATCATAGGAGACTGATAATCTTGAAGTGATTGTTTCATTGACTCTCAGTTAACAACCCCAGCCTTGGACACAGTTTTAACCCGCATGTCTAACTAAACTATAATTTTTTGGGCAATTGCAAAACTGTCAGACTGACATCTCATTGTTCCAGCTTACTTCGGTGAACAGTATTCGCAGTTTGGGAACCACTATAGATTGGATCAAACTAAATCTAAATTACTCTGCTCAAGGCAATCTTGTCACAGACCCCTTGCAACACCTTTTTCCTTAATTGTCCCACTTTATGAGGAATCCCGGACAGACGTATAATACCAAATATGTGAATAGTCACTCCTCCATATCTTGCCCTCAAATAGATACCATATATACCTAAGTCATTTTTTCCTCAAACTTTCTTTTGTAACAATAATTTGACATAAAATTATAGATTCTAAATCCTAATTCCAGCACATGTCTCGCAAAAGCTGTGAAACCCCCTTTGTGGGCTTATTTTCCAGGCCTTTTGCCAAGACCCTCGCTTTCTTTTACACGTCATAAATGGTATTAAAACCGGTGACATCAAACTAGGCCAACTTCGTGGCAAAAATCCCTCTTTCCTAATACTCTAACTTGAGCCTCACTATCCTCATAAAAACTCTTCACTGCTTTCAGTAACCTACCTCCTACACCATACACTTGCAACATCTGCCACATTGCCCCCCTGTCCACCCTGTCATACACCTTTTCCAAATCCATAAATGCCACAAAGACCTCTTTAGCCTTATCTAAATACTGTTCACTTATATGTTTCACTGTAAACACCTGGTCCACACACCCCCTACCTTTCTTAAAGCCTCCTTGTTCATCTGCTATCCTATTCTCCATCTTACTCTTTTTTTTTTTTTTTTTTTTTTTTTTAACAAGTCGGCCGTCTCCCACCGAGGCAGGGTGACCCAAAAAAAAGAAAGAAAATCCCCAAAAAGAAAATACTTTCATCATCATTCAACACTTTCACCACACTCGCACATTATCACTGTTTTTGCAGAGGTGCTCAGAATACAACAGTCTAGAAGCATACACATATAAAGATACACAACATACCCCTCCAAACTGCCAATATCCCAAACCCCTCCTTTAAAGTGCAGGCATTGTACTTCCCATTTCTTAATTCTTTCAATTATAACTCTACCATACACTTTACCAGGTATACTCAACAGACTTATCCCCCTATAATTTTTGCACTCTCTTTTATCCCCTTTGCCTTTATACAAAGGAACTATGCATGCTCTCTGCCAATCCCTAGGTACCTTACCCTCTTCCATACATTTATTAAATAATTGCACCAACCACTCCAAAACTATATCCCCACCTGCTTTTAACATTTCTATCTTTATCCCATCAATCCCGGCTGCCTTACCCCCTTTCATTTTACCTACTGCCTCACGAACTTCCCCCACACTCACAACTGGCTCTTCCTCACTCCTACAAGATGTTATTCCTCCTTGCCCTATACACGAAATCACAGCTTCCCTATCTTCATCAACATTTTCTCACTAATGTAATAATAATGCAATGCCTATTAGATTCATTGCTCTGAGATGTTTTTCTTTGTCTAACGAAAGTAAAAGTCTGAAACCCTGAGAATGTACAATCCAGTGGTGGCTCGTCCATAGGATCTGCAGAGCTGCAGTCCCCACAGATGCTCACTTCATCAATCTTATGCTAAAATAATTTGAGCTGACAAATATATTTCAGGAAAAATCTGTTGGATATTGTTTTCAATATTTATAAGCATATTTTTAATTGTTTTGTTGAAATGAGATAAAAAATGATTAAAATAGAAGTTTGATGCAGTACAATAGTGTATAGGTATTACTGGCGCTATGAGCCGCCACTGGTACCATCAGTATTGCAACATCAATATTATATTATTACATCAACATTGTAACAGTACTACAATATCAGAATTTCAATGGCTTTTACTGAGACTTTCCCACTCGAAGCAGTGTCTCCAGTGAAGAAATTTTTCTCTCCAAGTGATAAACCTGCTAAGTTTTAGCATTAAACTGAAGGTTGTACTACCGGCAGTGTGGGTTAAGGGTCGTAGTGCTGACAAGAATGAATACAAAGATATATGTGCCATAGCCAGCATGTACTGTCAAATAATGTCGCTCTAAAGTTTCATGCCCCAGTGACTTGAACAAAGGTTCTCCTGAGAGCCAGACATTGAAGAGAATGAAGGGTCATCTGATACATGTCTGTCTTCACTGCATGAACAATTACTTATAGAATCCCGTGGCAGCAAGCGACTTACTTGTAGAATCCTGTGGCAGAAAGTGAAACACGGTCAAAGTAAGCTGCCTTCACCCACTCCTCCCAAGTTCCTTGAGGACTCTGAGCTATGTACGGTTGTAGTCGTTTCATTATCTTGTCGCATGCTTCCTGTGTTTACAACAAATGATTAGTGCGTTGGTTAATTCTTGTGTTACTGTCAATATCCTTGTTCTAGTGGGGACACAATGTAAAGCATGAGCTTTTATTGGGAGAAACTTGTACCAATGAAAGTTGGAACAACTTTTTCACAACCTTGCCCCTATGGTTCATAGGGTTTACTGCCAGGAGAATACAAAATGGTCATTAAGGCTACAGGTCCCTAAAATAGGGATTAAAGTTTGGTCTCAGTGTATGATGAGAGATACACACCTCTTGGCATATATGTATATGAATGTGCTTCATACCTATACATCCATTCTTCTACTTCATTTTGCTTTGTTACTTTGTTCCATGGTGGAAACTATGGAATATACACTGAATTACTTTTTTTTTTTTTCAACAAACTGGCCATATCCCACCGAGGCAGGGTGACTTATTGTTATTATTAATTTAAAGCTATAAACAGACCTAGGTCATTCAGCTCGAGAAGTTCTGGAGGCTTGATCCTTCGTGTACTAATAACTAAAGACACATTCTACCTAACTGCTACAATTACTTCTAATGTCTTGCACCTTGCACCTTAGGGCTCTGGTGGCCTGGTGGCTAATGCTCTCGCTTCACACGGCGAGGGTCTGGGTTCGATTCCCAGCCAGAGTAGAAACATTGGACGTGTTTCTTTCCACCTGTTGTCTATGTTCCCCATCAGTAAAATGGGTACCTGGGTGTTAGTCGACTGGTGTGGGTCGCATCCTGGGACACTGACCTAATTTGCCCGAAATGTACCGAAATGCGGAGCATAACAAGGGACTTACTATACAGTAGTATGTCATTGTTGTCAGCTAGGACTGTATACCTTGTACATGTACTTGTAGTAAATAAAGATATTATATTATTATTATTATTACTAGTATACCTCTACACATCTGTTGAGCACAGGAGGCAGTAATACTTACCAGAACAGCCATACCATTGAGATCAGAGGAGACTGAAGCAGCTGTGGGTGAAGTATTAGGCACCTTGTCTGAAGAAGTCTCCGCTATGTGTATCTTTTCTGTGGGGACCTTCAGTGCTCGAGATGCTACCTGTCCAAAATAAAAGAAAAAAAAAAAAAGATTTCCAAATTAAAAACAAAACTTAACATGTAAATGCTGTTGTGTGTTTATTTTAAGGAAAATAATGCATGTACTCATTATTAATAATAAACATATGATAAACTGCATTATTCAAATAGTTTTTTCTTTCTGGAGGAAACTTTCTTTTCTGATTCACGTCCAGATGGGGGCAACATTTTTTTTTCCTGGATGCTGGTTATTTCAACTTGGCATTGTACATATGACATATGGCAATGAGTGCTTAGTGTACTGAGGAGTCAAAGCATTCCATAAATACTACAAGCAGAACTACTTAACTCCCAACAGCCAGCACTGCCTTATCGTTATCATACCTGTATCATCTTGGTGTGGAGACCCTGGCCCATCTCAGTGCCACCATGAGATAGGAGGATAGAACCATCAGTGTAAACCATAACCAGAGCTCCAGCTTGGTTCATGAAAATTTCAGTGAAAGAGATGCCAAACTTGACTGGCACTAATGCAATCCCTCGCTTCTTGTACTTATTCTCCCTAGGAGAAGAAAAAATTACAATTCCATAAGGATTAAGTACAGAAAAATCCTCATTTCACTGTTTGTATTTCATTATTCATTATGATGTTCTCACTTAAATATATTGTAACATATATACTAACCTAATATTCTCTACTTCAGTATTCACTACTACAAATGCTATACCTAATTGTTATAAAAAAATCTCAAAATGTCAAATCATAAACGAAGTTGCTATATACAATATCAAAGACTGCAAATAGGAGAAAATTGCACGTTCCTGATGGAAAATAAGAGTACATATTTATTTTATGGGGGTGGGGGAGGGAGGAGGGAATGCTAAACCTACTGGGATTTTATAAGGATAGCTTGGTGGGAGATGGCCGACTTGCTGAAAAAAAAAAAAAAAAAAAAAAAGCTTGAATTCTTTGAATCAAGAATCTTACCAGCATCAAGGCACCTCTCTCGAAGGGCGAACATGCAAAGTACTGAGCTCACCTGTTAAACTGGTGGACTCGAGCAGTCCTAGTATGAAAGCTGGACTGGTGTTTTACCTCCTGCCAGCAGCGCTTTAGGGTGCATCGCTCCAGTACTTGTCTGCAGTGTGTGCTGTCTCCATTCTCATACAGGTTCTTCTCCCTTACCTGTCAACAATGCTCTTGTCAACTCATCTTTGTTGAGGCTTGATGCTGTGCATTAGCTTCATGTTGATGGCCATGAATGGTGGTGATAATAACTGATAATGATGATATCAGTTCAAAAATATTTTTGATATATACAAAGTGGCAGCAATGCTGTATGGGGTATCATTAGACAAACCACTATTACAGTAACCAGAGTATACAGTTTCATAATACATAAAGGATCAGTATACACAGGAAGCAGAGGTAACGACCAGCATCTGTATCAGTCACAGACAAATATAATGGTCACAGCAACAAAGACAACCTACTTGAGTAGGGTCAACCTTGAGGAAGGCTGCCACTCTAGACACAATGTCCTCAGCAAACAACATAGCCTGGGGTCCTCCAAACCCTCTGAAGGCAGTGTTGGAGGGTAGGTTTGTCCTGCAGGCGTACCCTGTCACCTCCATCGACCCCCACCTGACCAAAACATCACCCACACCATTAATATTTGCATTTAAATTATTGTTAATAGTCAATAGGGGCACTAAACTCCTAGGGTATGAGAGACTGATTAGGTTTAATGAAAGGAAAAAGAGTGTAGTTCCATATCGATGTGAAAATAAGATTTGCTATAAATAATGAATATAGAATAAAGAATAAAAAAGTCACAATGCAGTGGCTGGAATAATTTAGAAAACTTGCACTTAGGAGAGGACACTTATAACGTTAAGGCAGTGGACACTGATCACTTAAACACGAAACAAATATCTATATACACAGATTATACAATATATCTCGCTTACTCTCTCTCACTCCTTGGTTACACTTTATTGTTGCTAAGTCCGTAAAAATTTAAAAAATTGTATTAACCACACTGTATATCAGAAGTGTATAATATACATGTCTCTCTTTATTAAATCATTGCTGATTAGATACCTCAGTAATCAGATAATGTTCAGAAGGTTTCTTGCTGTAGTTCAAATTTCTATAACTGGATTAGTATATTCATGGGAAGTATTAAACCTATTAAGGGTCATGCAGTGCCTGCAAAAATGGAGAGATATTCAGATTTGATTCAAGGAATAGGAGAATGGCCCCAATTCCTTTGATCAAGAGCCCTTCACCAGCATCAAGGCACTGCCCTGACTGGGTCTATATCATAAGAACAGTAAAACCTTACTCACCTGTAAGCATTATCTATGGAGAACATGGCCCTGTGAATGACTGCACCACTGAGATCAAGGGAGAAGCCACCGTTGGCATAAAGATCGACCTTGAGGGCGAGCAATTTGCCATCACTAGAGAATCCAACCTTCGAGCGACACAGAAACGGGTTTCGTCCCCCTGTTGCCACCATGTCCTCGTCCCTGTCTAGCATGATGCTCACTGGCCGTCCCAACCTGCAGGGAACAGATGATTATCATACCAGCATCTTAACCCATTATTGTTATTATATTTAGGGAAGAGAACTGAAAGTGTATAAACTAAGGGAGGAGGAAGTTCAAGTGAAACATAAGCAATTATTGGCAGAAAGGTGGGCTAGCGCAAATATGAGTAATGGGGGGGGGGGGGGTTGAAGAGGGTTGGAATAGTTTTAAAAATGCAGTATTAGAATGTGGGGCAGAAGTTTGTGGTTATAGGAGGGTGGGTGCAGGAGGAAAGAGGAGTGATTGGTGGAATGATGAAGTAAAGGGTGTGATAAAAGAGAAAAAGGTAGCTTATGAGAGGTTTTTACAAAGACGAAGTGTTATAAGAAGAGCAGAGTACGTATATGGAGAGTAAAAGAAAGGTGAAGAGAGTAGTGAGAGAGTGCAAAAGGAGAACAGATGATAGAGTGGGAGAGGCACTGTCAAGAAATTTTAATGAAAATAAGAAAAAAATTTGGAGTTAAACATGTTAAGAAAGCCTAGGGAATGAATGGATTTGTCAGTTAAAAACAGAGTAGGGGAGTTAATAGATGGGGAGATGGAGGTATTGGGTAGATGGCGAGAATATTTTGAGGAACTTTTAAATGTCAACGAAGAAAGGGAGACAGTAATTTCATGCATTGCTCAGGGAGGTATACCATCTTTTAGGAGTGAAGAAGAGCAGGATTTGAGTGTGGGGGAGGTGGGTGAGGCATTATGTAGAATGAAAGGGGGTAAAGCAGCTGGAACTGATGGGATCATGACAGAAATGTTAAAAGCAGGGGGAGATATAGTGTTAGAGTGGTTGGTATTTTTGTTTAATAAATGCATGAAATAAATAAATGTATGAAAGAAAAATGGTCACACACAGAAGTGCACTGTTGGGTTCCTCACACTCCACTCATCAAACCCACGTTTCTTCCATTTTATATGTGTAGTAGGTTGGTAGACAGCAACCACCCGGAGGTACTACTGCCCTGCCAAGTGAGTGCAAAACGAAAGCCTGTACTTGTTTTACACGATGGTAGGATTGCTGGTGTCTTTTGTCTTTGTCTTTCTCATAAATATACAAGATTACTGGTACATCACGCTACTTCTACTTACACTTAGGTTACACTACACATACATGTACACATTTATATATACACACTCATCTGAGTTTTCTTTGATTTTATCTTAATAGTTCTTGTTCTTATTACTCTTCCTTTTATATCCATGGGGAAGTGGAATAAGAATCTTTCCTCCGTAAGCCCTGCGTGTTGTAAAAGTCAACTAAAATGCTGGGAACAATGGGCTAGTAACCCCTTTTCCTGTAATATATTCAAATATATTTTATTTGGACATGATACATAGTTGTACAATGAATTATAGTAGTTGGGTGAACATGCCAAAATCCCTTTGTATGCAGAGCATTATGGGCAAGCTTCAAATTAACTTAAAATTAACAAGCACTGAAAGGTTCAGTGTTAAAAATTACAGTAAACAACTTACAATATGAAGTACAATTGAGTATTTGAAACAATGAAATTTGAACATATTGATACTGAAGCATTATAGTACAAATTTGTCACATTACAATGTATAACAAAAGATGATCAATTTCCTATATGTTGTCTTGAATTTTTAAGATTTAAGTAATTGGGAGAATTATTGGTAATGTTAAATTTTGAGTGTTGATTATTTAGTCCTGAGCGAGTAAGTGGTTTTTTAGAAGAGTCTTAAATTGATTTTCAGGCCTGGTTACTTTAGTATGTTCTGGTAACGAATTCCAGATTTTGGGGCCCTTTATGTGCACAGAGTTTTTACAGAGTGTGATATGGACACGATGTACATCAAAGACATCTGTGTCTTGTGTTATGGTCGTGTGTCTAGTGCATAATAACTACTTTAATCTAGACAAAATAAGAGTGGTTAACTTGTATTAAAATCTTTATTTAACCTTAATACTAATGTGAGGTAGTCAAGGTGGAGGTTTATGTGAATAATCTTGACGTTGTACATAATAAAAACAATATTAGAAATAATGGTTCAAACAGTAATGTTTCGTGGATTGGCAGATGTTTAACAGACTAGAGGTCATGTAATATAATATGTATTTGGGAGAGTTACTTCAACTGATTAGTTGTTTTGGTTAATTTGATTAGTAGTCAGAGAAGTATACCATGGCCAGGAAAGTATACCATCTTTTAGGAGTGAAGAAGAGCAGGATGTGAGTGTGGGGGAGGTGTGCGAGGCATTACATAGAATGAAAAGGGGTAAAGCAGCTGGAACTGAGGGGATCATGACAGAAATGTTAAAAGCAGGGGGGGGGATATAGTGTTGGACTGGTTTTTATTTTCATTTAATAAATGTATGAAAGAGGGGAAGGTACCTAGGGATTGGCAGAGAGCATGTATAGTCAATTTATAAGGGAAGGGGGACAAAAGAGATTGTAAAAATTATAGAGGAATAAGTTTACTGAGTATTCCAGGAAAAGTGTACAGTAGGGTTATTATTTAAAGAATTAGGGGTAAGACAGAATGTAGGATTGCAGATGAGCAAGGAGGTTTTAGAGTGGGTAGGGGATGTGTAGATCAAGTGTTTACATTGAAGCCAAAATATTGAACCCGTATTTTTAAAAAAAGGTAGGGAAATTTTTATTGGGGATTTATGGATTTAGAAAAGGCATATGAAATAGTGAAAAGGGGAGTAATGTGGCCCGATGTTTCAAGTACATGGGCCCCCCCGATTTTCATGTTAATCTGTTCCAAGAGTGTTTACTATTATTGAAATTTACGATTTTCGAAAACCAAAATTTTTCCCATAAAAATTTAAAGTAAATACAATTTAAACGTTCCAAAACCCAAAGTAATTTAAAAAAAAACTTTTTTTTTAAAATGGGAAAAATAGATGTAAATACATTCACATACAATGGGAAAATGATGAATGAAAAATTAACAGCATAACACCTACCTTTATTGGCAATTCTTTTTAGGTATGGGGGGACTGGGGGGAGGAAGAGATTGGAATTTTTTTACCCCTTTTGGGAAAGGGGGAATTCCCCCTTTCCCCAAGATCTCAGGGACCAACCTTTTCTTTGGGGGCACTTCTCTTCTTGTTTCTTAATGGGCCCCAAAAGGGCCAAATTTTAGAGTCACTGGGGGCCCCGTCCCCACAAAAAAAAAGTGTCCAGCGAGCCTGTTTTTTTGGGATCTCTTTAAAACTTCCCCAAAATGGGGGCCCAAAACTTGGGCCCCTGGAAAATGGGTTTCCCACATGGGTTGCAACAGCCTTGCCAGGGGATGTTTCTCCATAAATCTTTCCATCCCACCCACATTTCAAAAATCTCTTTAATTTCTGAAGAAGGCAACTTCTTCCATCTCTCTTCCCCCTCCTCGGGAGCAAAATTTTTAGCGTGGTCTTTGCTGCCCCCAGGAAAAACTCGAGGAGCTCCTCAGTGGGTTTTTCTCTTCCTTTTGGGCCCCCTCCACCAACTCTTCCACATCGGGGCCAAACTCACATCCAACCCCATGTAACCCCCCCAATGCCACAATAGATTTTTCAACGCCATAGGCCCCCTCAGGGTCAGGGCCCCCAAACCCTTTAAAAACCCCTTTTTTGGACACAATCTGGCCACAGGTTTTTAAGGAGTTAAAGGGTTTTTCCTGGGGGTTACAAAGGGCTTAGCTATGGAGGATATGAAGTAATGCCAATTCTTTATCCCAAAGTGTTTTGAGGTACATTAAAGGATTTGAAACCCCGGTGAGTTTTTTAGTAAAATACGTGGCCTGGCTGGAGGGGGGTTTGTATTAGGGGAAAACTTTAGGGTAAACCCAACCCTTCTAGAAGCCATTATTGGAGTGAAAGGTGTTTTCCCATTTGGGACCTTGGGATCTTTTTTTAAAAAAATAATTCTTCACACTGGGGCCAAACACTTCATTGAACCACTCGACGGTAATTTCCCTCGTGACCCATGCCTTATTATTAGCTTTCCAAAACACACAATTTACTCTTCATAACATTGTTTTTCTTTAATGCTATGGGATTTTCAGAATGGTACACTAGTAACGGCTTCACTTTGAAATCCCCATTAGCATTACTACAAAACATGAGCGTCAGCCTGTCTTTCATAGGCTTGTATCCTGGCGGTCCCTTTTCCTCCTGAGTAATGTAGGTCCTCTTTGGCATTTTCTTCCAAAAGAGGCCTGTTTCATCACAACTGAACACTTGTTGTGGTTTTAATTGTTCAGTCTGTATGTACTCCTTGAATTCACTTGCGAATTTTGTAGCTGCAATTTTGTCTGAACCGGCAGCCTCGCCATGCCTTATCACACTGTGTATGCCACTACGGTTCTTAAATCTCTCAAACCAGCCTTTGCTGGCTTTAAATTCACAAATATCAGTACTCGCTGCAGGCGATTTCTTTACGAGATCGTCATGCAACTGCCTAGCCTTTTCACAAATAAGCGGCTGCATAAGACTATCTCCTGCTAATTGTTTCTCGCTTATCCACACCAACAATAACTTCTCAACATCTTCGAGTACTAGCGATCTCATTTTTGTCAGCATATTTAGCCCCCCTTCTCGGTGGGATACGGCCGGTTTGTTGAAAGATGATGATTTACCCCGTTTGCAACAACAGCTTCCTTTATTTCCTTTTTCTTGGCCATGATGGAAGCTATGGTTGTATGGGTTTTCTTATACATCCTGGCCAGTTCAGCCACACGTATGCCACTTTCATATTGTTCAATGATGTTTTTCTTGAATTCAATCATATTTCTCACCTTCTTTACCTGAGGCATGACACTAGGAGCTTTCTTTGGAGCCATGGTAACTTATTTAGCAGTTGCAAACACTAAAATGAATGGATTATGAAATATTTTGTATGAACACGTGGGGGGACGGTCACTCACTGGTAAACAATGCCACACTGGCTGGGAAGGGAGTGCGATGCAGTTTGGGGCTGTGAGTACACGTCTGGGACAAATGACTATTTGCGAGTCAAATGACGATTCGCGAGTCAATGTTTTGATGAAGATAACGTCACGATTTCCGAAAATTACGACTTTCGAGCCTTACGATTATCGAGGGTCCACTGTATATGGAATAGGTGGCAAGTTACTAAATGCTGTAAAGAGTTTTTATGAGGATAGTGAGGCTCAGGTTAGTGTGTGTGTAGAAGAGAGGGAGACTACTTCCTGGTAAAAGTAGACAGGGATGTGTAATGTCACCATGGTTGTTTAATATATTTATAGATGGGGTTGTAAAAGAAGTAAATGCTAGGGTATTCGGGAGAGGGGTGGGATTAAATTATGGGGAATCAAATACAAAATGGGAATTGACACAGTTACTTTTTGCTGATGATACTGTGCTTATGGGAGATTCTAAAGAAAAATTACAAAGGTTAGTGGACGAGTTTGGGAGTGTGTGTAAAGGTAGAAAGTTGAAAGTGAACATAGTAAAGAGTAAAGTGATGATTTAGATAAAGAAAAATTGGATATCAAATTGGAGAGGAGGAATATGGAAGAAGTGAATGTTTTCAGATATTTGGGAGTTGACGTGTCAGCGGATGGATTTATGAAGGATGAGGTTAATCATAGAATTGATGAAGGAAAAAAAAGACAAGTGGTGAGTTGAGGTATGAGTGGAGACAAAAAAAATGTTATCTATGGAGGCAAAGAAGGGAATGTACATAAGTATAGTGGTACCAACGCTCTTACATGGGTGTGAAGCTTTGGTTGTAAATGCTGTGGCGAGGAGAAGGTTGGAGGCAGTGATGTCCTGTCTAAAGGCAATGTGTGGTGTAAATATTATGCAGAAAATTCGGAGTGTGGAAATTAGGAGAAGATGTGGAGTTAATAAAAGTATTAGTCAGAGGGCTGAAGAGGGGTTGTTGAGGTGGTTTGCTCATTTAGAGTGAATGGATCAAAGTAGAAGGATATGGAGAGCATATAAATCTGTAGGCGAAGGAAGGCGGGGTAGGGGTCGTCTACGAAAAGGTTGGAGGGATGGAGTAAAGGAGGTTTTGTGGGCAAGGGGCTTGGACTTCCAGCAAGCATGCGTGAGTGCGTTAGATAGTAGTGAATGGAGACCAATGGTAGTTGGGACCTGATGAGCTGTTCGAGTGTGAGCAGGGTAATATTTAGTGAAGGGATTCAGGGAAACTGGTTATTTTATATAGCCAGACTTGAGTCCTGGAAATGGGAAGTACAATGCCTGCACTTTAACCCTTTCAGGGTTTCGGGTGTACTAGTACGGCTTACGCACCAGGGTTTTTGACATACAAGTACGCCTAAATTCTAACGCCCTCAAATCTAGTGAGAGAAAGCTGGTAGGCCTACATATGAAAGAATGGGTCTATGTGGTCAATGTGAGCAGTATAAAAAAAAATCCTGCAGCACACAGTGCGTAATGAGAAAAAAAACTTTGACAGTGTTTTTGGTTTAAAACAGCGACTTTGCACTGTATTTTCGTATGGTATTTATGATGATATTCTAGTTTTCCTGGTCTCATTTTATAGAATGGAAGACATATTACAGAAATTGAGATGATTTTGATTGGTTTTACAATGAAAAGTACCTTGAAACTGAGCTCAAAGTAGCAGAAATCTTCAATTTTTGCCAAAGTTCAAAAGTAAACAAATCATGCTACGCGTCCAATACACGTCAGCTGGTGAGTCTAATATTCTTTCACAAGTGCGCTGATATTATTTATACCATTTCTACACTAATGCAGTAGTCTGCATAACAGTAAATTTTCTTATTTTTTGTGAGATAAAAATTCAAAGTGGAAAGCAAAAGAATGTAAGAGGGGCGTGGGGACGTGACTAATGAACAAAGGAAATGTTATTTTAGTGCCAGGAATGTCTTTCTTGTTTATTCTGACCCTATTTGGAAATTGGCATCTTTTGAAATTTGTGTGAAATTGGTAAAATTGCTAAATTCTGACCACTTTATTGGATAGCTTGAAATTGGTAAATGGGTGGTTTCTTGTACTCATTCGATAGAAAAAAAGGAGTTCTAGAGAAATAGTTATGATTTTTGTCGACTAGTACACTGGAATTGGCCGAAAATTGGGCTCAAAGTGGGCAAAATTGCCGATGTGTAAACATCGTCGAGACCGCTAACTTCGCGAGAGCATAATTCCGTAAGTTTTCCATCAAATTTCATACTTTTGGTGTCATTATGATCGGGAAAAGATTCTCTATCTTTTCATAAGAATTTTTTTTTTTTTTTTGAAAATTTGGTGACCCTGAGAACAAGTCTTGGAGAAGGGGCCTGGCGACCCTGAAAGGGTTAAAGAAGGGGTTTGGGATATTGGCAGTTTGGAGGGATATGTTGTGTATCTTTATACGTATATGCTTCTAAACTGTTGCATTCTGAGCACCTCTGCAAAAACAGTGATTATGTGTGAGTGAGGTGAAAGTGTTGAATGATTATGAAAGTATTTTCTTTTTGGGGATTTTCTTTCTTTTTGGGTCACCATGCCTCAGTGGGAGATGGCCGACTTATTAAAAAAAAAAAAAAACTGAACTGAACTCTTAAGAATTTATACAGTGTATGAAAAATGGGAAGCACAAGTAGTACATGTCATATTTACTGTCAGCAGATAAACAAAAGACTGAAAGGGGGCTCAAACCGTGGTCTATGCTATTAGCAGGCCTGACGCTGTGGCCACTCAGACACGAACCTTCATACACAGTGTATGAAGGTATATATATAGGCATGTGAATAATTCATAAGTTGCATTAAAATAACATCATTGATAATAAGCTAAAAAAACCATTAGCCCAAAAAGGTTTAACTCTGTCTCCTTTATAAAAGGAAGTAATGTTAAATTTGTTACGTAAATGATACTGACGCAGCCGCGGCAACACAGATGGGAACAGACACGAGGGTAGTTCGGTCTCCTTGCCACCGAACCTCCCACCATCCTTTGACTCGGCAAACCACCCTACTGTTCGGCACATCAAGGGCTTTAGCAACCAGTATCTGAGTATTGGTGGGAGACTGAGAAGATGAAAATAACTCCATTTCTCCATCTTCACATTTAGGCACTGCAAGGTGGGAATTTGTTTCCAAGTAGAAGTGTTCCTGCCCACCCATATGCATCTCGCCCTCCAGCACATGGTCAGAGCTCTTGAAAGCTGTCTCTACATCACCATTACGTATTGTCCAGTGATCCAACCATGATTTCTCACGAATTGCATCCTAAAAAATATTAATAGCCTTTTAAATAATTTGTAGAGTAAGTCTATATTTCAGATGGCAACTTAAGAAATAAACTATCTTATCTTATCTAACTATGTAATAACAATTTACATAAAATAACAGTAGTAACAGCCAGTTACCTGAATAGTTATTATGACTGGCTCAATATTTTGGTACTGTATTTTCACCAACTTGGCTGCCCTCTGTGCAGTGACCTGATCCCTAGCCACCACCAGCCCCACCACCTGGCCCACACACTTCACTGTCTTAGATGCAAACACTTCTTCATCTGAGGCAATGCAGCCGGTTACATTTCTCTCTCCTGATGTGAAAAAACACATTAATACATGAAAATATTTGAAAATATATGAAAAATTTATTTCTAGTTTTATTTTAACTTAAATACCTTATTGGCAGTTTGGAGGGATATGTTGTGTATCTTTATATGTACAACGCTTCTAAACGATGCATCACTAGCGACTTTCCGCAAAATACATGAAATGTTTTGTGCAAGTGGAACGATTAAAAACCTGTCTAGGAATTTTCTTTTCCGAGACGGTCAATGGCCCGCCTGCCTCCGGTGGGCCCGTTACGGCCGACTTGTTGAAAAAAAAAAAAAATATTTTTTTTTTAAAAAGTCAGGCCCAAAATCTTCCACACGAGGCAAAGGGTAAGATTAATTACTGATGAAAAGATTGATAATATGAAAGGAGTGCGTATAACATACAACTTTTACTCAGAAAAATTTATTGTTATGTTGGGTATAACCAGAAGACAAGTAAGGAACATTTCTTGAACAGGTTAATCTGTTTTTTTGCTCCATATGAAGAATGTTGATAGACTCAGGGGGGTTAAAAAAAACATCATTTACATTGTGGGTGGAATTGCTGGGTTTATATAAAAAAATTACTAGTGATATGTGATGAAAAGAACCAAGCAAAGTATGGTTTAGGGAAGTATCATTATTATGCTTGCTGCCAATGAATCATCAATGACTTAAAAAGATTTTAAATTTAAAACTAAAACAGACATCTCCTAGCAGTGTTAATGTCGTGGAAGACTTATTAAGTTTCTGGAAGAAAGTATGAGGCTTAATTATTTTCAGGAGGATGGAGAAATGGTCCAGGACAAACCAAAAGTCTTGCTAAGTTCCTCTCTTCCAAGTACAGTTTATTTGATCATTTGCTCCCAGCATCAGCAAAGACAGCCAATTCTTTGTTGTGCTGTGGGAAACAGTAAGCATTGGATATGAATTACATAACGTATGCACCACTGAGTCCCGCGCAGGAAATTCCTCTAAAATTCAACTTCAGGGCCTCAACTCGTCGATGTGAGGAATGTTTGCCTGAGCACGTGGAGAGGACAAGGGCACGTGTAGCTGGTTGTGAAGGAGGCTATCCCCACATACACTGCCTCTCCTGCTAGCCTGGCTTCAGGCTGAGTTGTTTCAAGTGGCCAGCCTGATGAAGGTGCAATGGAAAATTGTCTTCAGGCACTACAAAGATTGTCTTATTACCTCATTAGAAGACCTAAAAGTAGAGTTGGGAGACATACCTGCCTTAAACGCTATGGAGAAACCTTCCGCTCAAAAATCTTCAAAGGAGGATTTTTTTTAGTAATGAGAATTTTTCATAATTTGTGGTTGGGAATTCCATTGTTTAGGTTATTGATGTGGAAATTTTTTTGGGGAGACAATATGAATAACCACTGAGAGTTGTAGATCAACTTAGAGTCAAGAGGCTCAGACCTGGGAAATGGTTCAGAGGAGGGGAGAGAAATTGAAGAGTTGCACTACAAAGATAAAGGAAATCTGTGCTAAGTGGCTTGAAGTGCAACTTTCATGGATGAAAATCACCCTCACACAGCTATGCAAGCCATGCTGGTGATTATTACACTGACAATGTTGTGAAACCTTTAGGCAAGTCATAAAAGGAACGAGAGGTACAGCCACTATGGACAGATATCTTGTGCGAAAGAAGTCCAGTGACTCTGAAAGCGCCTATGCATTATAAAAAGAAGGAAGTAACCCCAGAAAAGGACTTACTACCTCAAATCCTAATGGAAGGGGATTCCCTTCTAAACAGTAAGAAGATAATGCTCTCCCCTCCTCCCATCCCATCAATCATCACCAGATCTTCAATAAAAGTAAGTGTCATGTAATTGTGCATGCCTTTTTCAGTTTGTGTGTATTAAATTAACATTCATGTGGAAAAAAAAATTTTTTCATACTTTTGGGCGTCTTGCACGGAATTAATTTTATTTCCATTATTTCTTATGGGGAAAATTCATTCGCATAACGATTATTTTCGCATAACAATTATCCCTCTTGCACGGATTAAAATCGTTAACCGGGGGTCCACTGTATATGCTTCTAAACTGTTGTATTCTGAGCACCTCTGCAAAAAATGTGATAATGTGTGAGTGTGGTGAAAGTGTTGAATGATGATGAAAGTATTTTCTTTTTGGGGATTTTCTTTCTTTTTTGGGTCACCCTGCCTCGGCGGGAGATGGCTGACTTGTTGAAAAAAAAAAAAAAAATTTTTAACAAGTCGGCCCCTTCCACCGAAGCAGGTTAATAGGTTAATCTGATTTGAAGCTTGAAATCTGCATACCAGAAGTTAGCCTAAAACATACACTTTTACCTCATAGAAAAATTTTTTGTTGTTGAGTGTTATTAACAATTTGAGCAAGGTAATTTACATTTTAGAACATGTAATCTGTATTTTTTCTCCATATCAAGAAATTTAACTAATCCCAGTTAACACAAACATCATTTAATTGTGGTGGAATTGTGGTCTTCATATAACCAAAAAAATATATAGTGGTATAGACAAAGAAGGAACACACAGATAATGTTTTATGGGAAGTACATTATATGCTTCCGCCAATGAATCATCAAAGACTGAAAAAGATTTTTATTCAAACTCATAACAGACATCTCCACGGCCGTGAATGTGCTGGGAAGACTTATTTAAATTTTTCTCAAGATGAGTTTGAGTTGCTTAATTATCTTACTTCAGTAGAGGGTGGAGAATGGTCCAGGACAGACCAAAATGTCTTCATAAGTTTCCTCTCCCAAGTACAGTTATTTGCGATTTGTTCCAGCCACAGTATTGTGACTAGCCATTCTTTCTTCCTGTGGATCAGTAAAGCAGTGTTGGATATGAATTAACATCCAACAGTATGCACTCACCTGGGAGGTCCCGCGCGCAGAAGAATCTCTCTACTCCTTCCACTTTCAGGGCCTCAGACTCGTCGATGCTGAGGATGTTTGCGTGAGCACGAGAGGAGAGGACAAGGGCAGCGTGTAGCTGGTTGGTGAAGGAGGGCATATCACCCACATACACTGCCTCTCCTGTAGCCTGCTTCAGTGCTGACGTGTGTGTCATGGGCCGGCCGATGGAGTCAATGGAAATTTGTCCTTCAGGCACCTACAAAGATTGTCTTATTACCTTTTAGATAGACCATAAAAAGTGAGTAGTTGCCACATCACCTGCATTAAAAGTTATGGACACCATTCCCAGCATCAAAAATACTTCAAATGGAGTGATTTTTTTTAGTAATGTTAGTTATTTTTCATAATTTATGGTTAATTTTCCTAATTTTTAGTTATTCCTCACAATTTTTTTGTGATTTTTCGTTTTCTGATAACCGAGATATTTATGGTAATTTTTTTTAGTTGTTTTTCATGACTTTTAGTTATTTTCCATAATGAATAGTCTTAATGAAAATATTTTCTTCCTCTTTTAGGCATTACCGAGAAAGGAGGGTCTCGTATGATGCTAAAATGATCTGATTTTACATTTTTAAGTTTATATTCTGAATCAGCATAGAAAATACTACTCCTGGTGTGATTTTAAGTAATTTTTAAAATCCAGCCAAAAATGGCAAAACACGCTGAATTATATATAGTTCAGGGATTTTTTTGGGTGAAAAAACTTTCTCTCAAGATGGAAAATGGTCATGATGCTGTTTGCTGGATCAATTGCTTCCCACAAACATGAAAAAGTCTGGTATATACAGCTTTCATGGAAGGTTACCAGAGTTTTTTTTTTTAAGATAACTGTGCCATAAAAGGTGCCTCAGACAGGGAAGAATTAGACGAGAGAGCAAACGTTCAGAAAAGTTGCCTGCTAACTTGACAAGGGTGGAGAGTGAAATTAAAGTGTGTAAGTGTAGAGTTTACCATTTAATGTGAAGGTTGTGAATAACTTTGATTCCCGTTTAATCATCAGAAACTATAGGCATCTTCCTCTTCTAAATGGGTTGATGCATCTTATGGCCAGTTAAGTTGTGTGGGGGCAAATTTGTCAATGCAATAATTTTTTTTGAAGCTTTGTACTGTAATTTTTATCTTAAAAAAAAAATAATATTCTCCATAGAGGATTAGAGAATTTTGATTATAATCATGGGGGAGTGCTAAACCCATAGGGTAATATTATACAGCTCCTGTAGACGAGGGGGGGGAGGATGGAAGGTATTCAGGATCAATTTAGGGAACTGGAGCACAGATCCAATTTGAAACCCAGTCAACTATTAGTAGAAGGTTCACTGAGCAACTCACATGCACAGGTAGTCTCTGCTCTATTTATACCACTCTTGAAATTGATTTCCACGAGATTGCTTTATGATCCTTTTTAACTGGCTTCAAAATTTCAGATATCACTGAGTGATTAACTTGTATTGTTATTGGCTGCAGATTTAAATACATGCACAGGTGTTACACAGGTGTTGACTTTACTGCAGTGTTTAACATGGTCTTATGTACACAACATCTGTATGACCTCAAGACGGATGTAAAAAAGCATTATATACCCAAAGTATTTACACCTGCTGAGTAATGTTAGCCAGTGTAGAGAGACCAACCCTTAAGTTTCATCCTGTTTTGGAGCAGACGACTCAATGTGGGTTCAATCCCAACCCGTTTCATGGTTTGTCAGTATTAAGTGGAGCTTTGTAACAAGTGAGCTACCCAGCGAGGGAAGGGGCATTGTTAGCATGATTAGCCTGAAGGTCACTGGCTGACACCCTTAACAAAAACGGCAAGCTAAGCAAGTGTGAAGGTCTCTATAGTGAGAAAGAAAAGAGAGAGAGAGAGAGAGAGACGAGAGAGGAGAGAGAGAGACGAGAGAGGGGACGAGAGAGACGAGAGGGGAGAGACAGAGAGAGGAGAGAGACAGAGAGAGAGAGACAGGAGAGAGAGACAGAGAGAGAGAGAGAAGAGAGACAGACAGAGAGAGAGACAGACAGAGGGAAAACAGAGAGAGAGAGACAGAGAGGAGAGAGACGAGAGAGAGAGACAGAGAGAGAGACAGACAGAGAGAGAGACAGACAGAGAGAGAGAGAAGAGAGTGAGAGAAAAAGAGAGAAGACAGAGAAGAGAAGGACAGAGAGAGACAGAAGAGAGAGAAGACAGATAGAGACGACAGATAGATGATTAGAGAAGACAAGAGATTTTTATAAGGCAAGATAATATAAACATATGATGCGAAAGGTTGAGAGAGGGGGGGAGGTGAAGAAGAGAGGGAGAGCGATTTAAAAGATAAGAGTATTAGATAGATAGTTAGTTTAGTAGCTTGGATTAGATGATAGGTAGATAGGGGTTGATATAGACGAATTTTTGGGGACTGATTTTTTGTATAGGGTAATTACAGTATAAGCATATTCCAAATTTTGAAATTGTGTAAGGTGAATGAAGGGGCTTTTGCTAGTTGTATTTTATGGGGTAAAGGTATTATTCACAATTAGTTTATGGGAACGATTGGCTTGGCTTCCCAACAGCTCTGGCATGATATTCGATAGGAGGGGGACGAATGGGGATTCAGGGACCGGTTATTTTTTTGGAGTCTGGAAGGGTAATACAGTGGCCTGCCCCTAAAGGAGTTCCGAATACGTTTGAGAATTTTGTAAGTGTATTTTTGTAAGTTTTGATTTTGCTCAGATGGGTATTTTTGGGGCATCCAAACGGACTAAATCTAATTCACAATATTTCTTATGGGAACAAATTCGGTCTATAACGGCACCCAAACAGACTTCTGGATTGAAATAATATCGTTAGGCAGGGGTCCACTGTATTTAGTGAAGGGATTCAGGGAAACCGGTTATTTTTATATAGCCGGACTTGAGTCCTGGAATTGGGAAGTACAATGCCTGCACTCTAAAGGAGGGGTTTCCGGATATTAGCAGATTGGAGAGATATGTTGTGTATCTTTATACGTATTAGATTTTTAGATTTTGCCACCGAAGTGGCTAGTTTATTGTGCACCCCATATCCATCCTGTGGACAGTAGCGCGAGAGCATATGGATACACAAAAGGCCTAGGAACTGGGCCCCAAAGTGTTAACAGGAATACATATGGATTTATATCTACATATCTATAGTTCACTTATCTGTTACAAGCAAATTTAGGAAATTTGCTTAGTATATCTGGTATCTTATTTTCATTAATAAGATATCTTGACATGTCACATAGGTTATTATACTGTCTGTCTCTGTATTCCTCAATAAGTGGACAATTAAGCACATAGTGTTCAAGAGAGTGACCATATGCCTGATCACATAATTTACATTTAGTTTGATCATCATCTGTGTGTCTCCCAAACTGCCAGAAGTACTTGTTACCAAGCCTAAGCCTGGCCACTACAACATCAGTCAGTCTGTTCACATTGCACGTTGCTCCATAAACATACTTATCTACATTCATGTTATCATAGTGGGTTATAGATCTACTCAGGCTTCTAACTGCATTCCTATAACAATCATTTTCATTATTTACTTCTCTCCTAATATTATTCCTAATGCTAGACACAGTTATACCAAAGTTATATTCTACATTCTCCTTCTGGGTACTCTTCTTGGCTAACATATCAACTTTATCATGGAGTAATCCAATGTGTGATGGGATCCATAGCAATTGTACATTAATTCCTTTGTCCCTAATTTTTGAGTATCTATACCTGGCTTCTCCAATGAGCATGTTGTTGGAGTCATTATATGAGTCAAGAGCCTTCAATGATGATATACAATCAGTAATGATGATAGAGCCATCATTGAAGGCTCTTGACTCATATAATGACTCCAACAACATGCTCATTGGAGAAGCCAGGTATAGATACTCAAAAATTAGGGACAAAGGAATTAATGTACAATTGCTATGGATCCCATTGTTGAATGATGATGAAAGTATTTTCTTTTTGGGTATTTTCTTTCTTTTTTGGATCACCCTGCCTTGGTGGGAGACGGACGACTTGTCAAAAAAAAAAAAAAAAAAAAAAAAAATAGAATTTATTTAAAGAACTGCCAGAAGCTAAGCAACATTCACAATCTTGACAGACGACACTAGCATGAGAGTCAACATTAGCATGATAGATGACACTAGCATGATAGACGATGCTAGCATGATAGACGACGCTAGCATGATAAGTCATAAGTTTCTATTACTTGAGCAACAATAGCAGGAGCAAGGGTGGAATTAATAATTGGGCAGCAATGTTCGTCAATGCCACCCAGGTCTCCGATCTCTCCCCACCAGGTGCCACCCACATCTCCCACCTCTCCCCACCAGGTGCCACCCACGTCTCCCACCTCTTCCCACCAGGTGCCACCCACCTCCCCCCCCCACCAGGTGCCACCCACCTCTCCCCACCAGGTGCCACCCACATCTCCCACCTCTCCCCACCAGGTGCCACCCACCTCTCCCCACCAGGTGCCACCCACCTCTCCCCACCAGGTGCCACCCACCTCTCCCCACCAGGTGCCACCCACATCTCCCACCTCTTCCCACCAGGTGCCACCCACCTCTCCCCACCAGGTGCCACCCACCTCTCCCCACCAGGTGCCACCCACCTCTCCCCACCAGGTGCCACCCACGTCTCCCACCTCTCTCCCACCAGGTGCCACCCACATCTCCCACCTCTTCCCACCAGGTGCACCTACCACCCTCTCCCCACCAGGTGCCACCCACATCCCCACCTCTTCCCCACCAGGTGCCACCCACCCTCTCCCCACCAGGTGCCATCCCACATCCCCCCACCTTCTTCCCTGCCAGGTACCACCCACTCTCTGCTCCCCACCAGGTGCCACCCACCTCTCCCCACCAGGTGCACACCCCCCCCTCTTCCCCACCAGGTGCCTCCACTGCCCAATGTCTCCCATCTCTCCCTACCAGGTGCCACCCAGGTCTCCCACCTCTCCCTACCAGGTGCCACCCAGGTCTCTCACCTCTCCCTACCAGGTGCCACCCAGGTCTCTCACCTCTCCCCACCAGGTGCCACGCAGGTCTCCCACCTCCCCCCACCAGGTGCCACCCAGGTCTCCCACCTCATCTTACCAGGTGCCACCCAGGTCTCCCACCTCTCCCCACCAGGTGCCATCCAGGTCTCCCACCTCTCCCCACCAGGTGCCACCCAAGTCTCCCACCTCTCCTCACCAGGTGCCACACAGGTCTCCCACATCTCCTCACCAGGTGCCACCCAGGCCTCTCCCCACATCCTCCCACACAGGTTGCCACCAGGTCATCCCACTCTCCTCACCAGGTGCCACCCCCACCAGGTCTACCCACATCTCACCAAGGTGCCACCCACGTCTTCCCACCTCTCCTCACCAGGTGCCACCCAGGTCTCCCCCTCTCCCACCAGGTGCTACCCAGGTCTCCCCACCTCCCCCCCTACTCTCCCACCAGGTGCCACCCCTGGACCTACTTCTTACATATGGCATACCTTTTGCAAGCAGCTGTCACTGGTGGGTACAGTCTGCTGCGCAGTGGATGGCCCCCTTCTCCCCTGTGACCAGTGGCGTCCACTTCTGTGGCAGACTCTCACTAAGGCGACCCCCACCACTCAAGTAGAACTTGAAGAAAAACTAAAAATACAAAAAAATTAACCCATCAGGTTGTATATCAAAATCACTTTTTTCATAAGTTACACTTCAGTACAGATGTGACAACACTGTTATTACAATATAACAAGAAGGCTAACCTGTATGTAGTGTGGTGCTACCTTCACGGGTGTAATGTACCAGCACTAGTCTGAAGACTCTTCCACCTAGCCTGCCCGATGCAGCTTTTCTGTTGACCCTGGTCATCCATGCTGTCTAGTGCTACGTGGATCAAGCTCCCACTGGGTGATGGTCTGCTCATATTCCCTACCTGAGTGATGCAAAGTACATGCTACATGTAAGTCTCATCCCTCGATCTGGTGAAGCGCATGCCTAGTGTGCTCCCTATCTGATGGTGAGGACCCAATGTACTTCACCATGGCCCTCACCTGAGTGTGAGCACGTCTGTATCCCACATGCCCACCAGGGGCACGAAGGGTCCAATGGCAGTCTTGTCAGTAGGAGCAGATGGCAGCTTCCACTAGTGAAGGTCCCAGCGACGACCTTACCATTCCTACAAGCAAACATCATTTCTAAATATCTGGCTAAAAATCTCCTACAGCCTAATCTTCTTTCTACCATGTGACTAGTTACTCTCACCTGGAGTTACCTGAGAGAGTTCCGGGCACGCCCCCACGGCCCCGGTCTTGTACAGGGCTCCTGGTGTGATCAGAGCCTGATCAACCAGGCTGTTGCTGCTGGCTGCACGCAAACCAACGTACGAGCCACAGCCCGGCTGATCAGGAACTGACAGGCAAACATCAATAATATCTGATATTCTGGCTGATGCTCTTACACGAACATGTTCTGTGATGCACAAGCATGCAGACGCACACACACACGCACACACACACACGCACACGCACACGCACACACACAGTATTAAAAAAAAAAAAATCATGAAATATACATTTCCCTACAAAGAAAACAATGAGACTATATAAATAAATGTTAAAAATGACACTTACCTTTATTGAAGAGTAATGATGAGTGATGAGACACTGTTTTTCTTGAACACTCTGGGATTTTCAGTGATAGATGAGTAAAGGCTTCACTTTGCAATCCCCACTAGCATTACAACAAAACAAGAAAGTTAGCCTGTCTTTCATAGGCTTGTGTCCTGGGAGTGCCTTTTCCTCCTGAGTAATGTAGGTCCTGTTTGTCATTTTCTTCCAGAACAGGCCTGTTTCGTCACAACTGAGCACTTGTTGGGGCTGGAATTTTTCAGCTTCGCCATGCCTTATCACACTGTGTATGCCACTACGATTCTTGAATCTCTCAAACCAACCTTTGCTGGCCTTAAATTCACCAATATGAGCGCTAGTTCCAGGCATTTTTTCCTGTTCACCTGGGTGTTAGTTGACTGGTGTGGATCGCATCCTGGGGGACAAAATTAAGGACCCCAATGGAAATAAGTTAGACAATCCTCGATGACTCACTGACTTTCTTGAGTTATCCTGGGTGGCTAACCCTCTGGGGTTAATTGTTTCTTGGTAATCGTTTCTCATTAAGCCACACCAACAACAGTCTCTCCACATCTTCGAGTAGTACAGCTGACGGTGGTGCAGCAGCAGCTGACCGTGGTACGATAGTACATATTTCAATAGTATTTCTCACCCTTTTTACCACAGAGGTGGCACTAGAAGCTTTCTTTGGGCCCATGGTGGCTTATTTAGCAGTTACAAGCACTATAAACAATGGAATAATACAAAATGTATCGAATATATGCATGAAACCGGCCACCCTGGCTTGTAAACAATGACGGCAGGGCAGCTGAGGCGCTCAGGCTGGCTGGACAGGTTTGGGACGAATCACATCTGGCGAGTTTTTTATCATTGCCAGGCCAAAATTTTTACGCTCAAATGCTTCGTTGGGCGGATTTAACGTTATGCGATGCGTTCGTTAGCCAAGGGTCCACTGTATACTGAACTCGCTATTATAATCTATTTCTTTTAATCTGCGCAAATGCAGTTGTGAAATTTGGTCGACTGTTTATAGAACTAGTTATTTTAATGGAACCTCCCTACAACTAGGTAGGTACAAATAGGTAGCACATTTGAGTCGTGCTGAGACGAAGATGAAGCCTCTTACTACTCCATGTACTGAATGTCCCACGCGACTTTAGTGATTCACATAGATCTTATTTTATCTAATACACCTTTTTTTGGGCCTTCTGGCTGCTGCATGAGGCTGCATAAGCAACATGTGATATGTGAAGAGGATCCTAACCACTGCTTCCATGCATCAATGAGAAGACAATGAGGTTTGCACTGGACAGACAAAATAGCTTCTGCAAGGTTAACCATGTCTTACCCAGATATTGTGAAGCAAAGCCACACTTTGCAAAACAAGCTTCCATTGTGAAAATGCTAGGCTCTGTCATGACTTGATAACTCTCTGATAATACAATGGTAGATTTTACCAAGAGTTTGTAAATAGACACAATGAGAGTTATGAAGACATTTCGTTAACAGGGACTTTATAAATTGATAAAATCCCAGGCAAAGGTGAAACATTTTCACAATAAAATGCCATAATCCTCGCTATGCATTTATTTGATAACCTAGGCAGAGCATCATCCCATAGAAGATTTTTCCTAAAAAAATTTTTTTTTACCTACTGTCAGTAGCAAGCCATTTAGATGAAAATTACAATGGTATGTTAGTGGATGAGTTTGAGAATGTGTGTAAAGGTAGAAAGTTGAAAGTGAACATAGGAAAGAGTAAGGTGATGAGGGTATCAAATGATTTAGATAAAGAAAAATTGGATATTAAATTGGGGAGGAGGAGTATGGAAGAAGTGAATGTTTTCAGATACTTGGGAGATGACGTGTCGGCGGATGGATTTATGAAGGATGAGGTTAATCATAGAATTGATGAGGGAAAAAAGGTGAGTGGTGCGTTGAGGTATATGTGGAGTCAAGAAACGTTATCTATGGAGGCAAAGAAGGGAATGTATGAAAGTATAGTAGTACCAACACTCTTATATGGATGTGAAGCTTGGGTGGTAAATGCAGCAGCGAGGAGACGGTTGGAGGCAGTGGAGATGTCCTGTCTAAGGGCAATGTGTGGTGTAAATATTATGCAGAAAATTCGGAGTGTGGAAATTAGGAGAAGGTGTGGAGTTAATAAAAGCATTAGTCAGAGGGCAGAAGAGGGGTTGTTGAGGTGGTTTGGTCATTTAGAGAGAATGGATCAAAGTAGAATGACATGGAAAGCATATAAATCTATAGGGATGGAAGGAGGGGTAGGTCGTCCTCGAAAGTTGGAGAGAGGGATAAAGAGGTTTTTGCGGGCGAGGCTTGGACTTCCAGCAGCCGTGCGTGACCTGTAGATAGAGTGAAGAACCGAAGTACTTGGGACTACGATCTTTGGAGTGTGAGCAGGTAATATTTAGTGAACGGATTCAGGGAAACCGTTATTTTCATATAGTCGACTTGATCGAAAATGGGACAGTACATGCCTGACTGTTAAAGGAGGTGGGGAATTGGCAGTTTGAGGCTATTCTGGATCTCTAATACGTATATGCTTCTAAACTGATATTCGCGCACCTTACAAAATACAGTGATAATGTGTGAGTGTGGTGAACAGGATAATGATGAGAAAGTATTTTTTTTTGGGGATTTCTTTCTTTTTTGGTCATCTGCCTCGTGGAGACGGCCGACTTGTTTGAAAAAAATTAAAATTTCTAAAAAATGAATTGTGTAAATGAAGATGTTGGTATCTTACCTTATAGTGGTGAGGGCCATCAACAGTAGTGGAGCAGCCACCAAAGGCCAATCCATCGGCCACCTCACTTGAGCAGGTTTAGCCTGACTCGGAAACCGCTTCACGATAGCTATGTCGTCACCCGTCGCGTGCTGCTTGACCCAGAAGTATCCACTCCTGTGGAGCAGAATACTCTCCTGAAGAGCATAGTCAACTGTATCATCCTGACCAAGACTGAGGATAAAAGGCAGATAAAATTGTATTGCATTTTAATAACACCAAAAGGAGGCAGTCATAATTAAAAACTTTAATCACGGAGCTATGAAATTCATCACAATGATTCAATTTAAACCGACAAATACGTAGACACTAGACTGGAGAAAGTGCACCATAACCTACTCATGTAAGATCAACAATGATCAATCTGCTATGTAAATATCACCATACTCAAGTGACAATATACTCAATCCACATTAATGGGTGTCATGTATGCGCGACCCAACCGACATATGAGATTAGTCACGGGAGCATCACCAAATTCAACTTCAAAACAAAACATAAGTGGGACCAAGTAACCAGTCCTAACGTATAAGGGAAATTACTAGCAACACAGACCCCAACTTAGCCTAGAACAGATAACTCGGTAGCCTCGATGTATCACAAGGCTATCCTTAGAAAAGGAGTAGATGTAAACAGAAAGAGACAGGCGCTCCTTTACAGCGACGGAAAAAATAACAAGCGGCTAAAAGAGTCAATATACGAAATGCGTAGGGAGACACTGTCAGAGAAGCAAGCATCGAATTAAGCTAAAAGAATCCTTTAGGAGTCAGGAATCGCGGGAAAACTAAAACCATAAATGAAATCAAGAAACCCAATATTTCTCTCCTATCAAATCAAAACGGAACAACGTCCAGTATTGGGCCCCTACTTAAACAAGGGTCCTACAAGATGACACAAGGAAAGCATCAGGTGGACAGTCAAGTCCCAATATGATGGCATTTTTAGCAAGCCGCTGACCCTAAATCCAAGACAAAATGAATTTTATAATGAAGCCACAAAATTTATTAAGCCCACCATGTTCCTGACGCAAATGACTTCGAAAGGAGAAAATGATGCCCATGCACGCAGCCAATCATGAACTCTGTTTTTCAAGAACTGCAAGAAGCCCCTATCACGAGCCTTTTCATCCTTGGATAGGGAGCATGGACACGGGGGTCGTCCCACTTCTAAAAACTAAAGACCATAGCCCACCCCAAGGGGCGAAAGCAACAGCAAATAAAGACATAAGCTAAATCCCATTTTAAAAATCTTTTGAAGGTCAAGAAGCAAGAACCACGATCAAACCCATCATTTAAAACCCAGGAAAATGGTTAGAACAGTCCCCCGTCTTCTCAACTATTCCACTACGACAGGTCCTAAATGCTAGGAAAAAAATTAGTGTAATACAGGACATTGCAACCTTGGAAATGTCCCATGGCGTAATAGCGCACAAAGCTGCTAAAGGAATAACAGGAAAAGTCGGTCGATGGATCTATAATTTCCTCACTAACAGAACACAGAGAGTAGTCGTCAACAGAGTAAAGTCCGAGGCAGCTACGGTGAAAAGCTCTGTTCCACAAGGCACAGTACTCGCTCCCATCTTGTTCCTCATCCTTATATCCGACATAGACAAGGATGTCAGCCACAGCACCGTGTCTTCCTTTGCAGATGACACCCGAATCTGCATGACAGTGTCTTCCATTGCAGACACTGCAAAGCTCCAGGCAGACATCAACCAAATCTTTCAGTGGGCTGCAGAAAACATATGAAGTTCAACGATGAGAAATTTCAATTACTCAGATATGGTAAACATGAGGAAATTAAATCTTCATCAGAGTACAAAACAAATTCTGGCCACAAAATAGAGCGAAAACACCAACGTCAAAGACCTGGGAGTGATCATGTCGGAGGATCTCACCTCAAGGACCATAACATTGTATCAATCGCATCTGCTAGAAAAATGACAGGATGGATAATGAGAACCTTCAAAACTAGGGAGGGCCCAGCCCATGATGACACTCTTCAGGTCACTTGTTCTATCTAGGCTGGAATATTGCTGCACACTAACAGCACCTTTCAAGGCAGGTGAAATTGCCGACCTAGAAAATGTACAGAGAACTTTCACGGCGCGCATAACGGAGATAAAACACCTCAATTATTGGGAGCGCTTGAGGTTCCTAAACCTGTATTTTCCCCGGAACGCAGGAGGGAGAGATACATGATTATATACACCTGGAAAATCCTAGAGGGACTAGTACCGAACTTGCACACGAAAATCACCCACTACGAAAGCAAAAGACTTGGCAGACGATGCACCATCCCCCCAATGAAAAGCAGGGGTGTCACTAGCACGTTAAGAGACCATACAATAAGTGTCAGGGGCCCGAGACTGTTCAACTGCCTCCCAGCACACATAAGGGGGATTACCAACAGACCCCTGCAGTCTTCAAGCTGGCACTGGACAAGCACCTAAAGTCAGTTTCCGGATCAGCCGGGCTTGGCTCGTATGTTGGTTTGCGTGCAGCCAGCAGCAACAGCCTGGTTGATCAGGCTCTGATCCACCAGGAGGCCTGGTCTCAGACCGGGCCGCGGGGGCGTTGACCCCCGGAACTCTCTCCAGGTAAACCCGGGTAAGGAAGGAGGGGTAGGGTCGTCCCCCGAAAGGGTTGGAAGAGGGGATAAAGGAGGTTTTGTGGGCGAGGGGCTTGGACTTCCAGCAAGCGTGCGTGACCGTGTTAGATAGGAGTGAATGAGACGAATGATACTTGGGACCTGACGATCTCTTGGAGTGTGAGCAGGGTAATATTTAGTGAACGGATTCAGGGAAACCGGTTATTTTCATATAGTCGGACTTGAGTCCTGGAAATGGGAAGTACAATGCCTGCACTTTAAAGGAGGGGTTTGGGATATTGGCAGTTTGGAGGGATATGTTGTGTATCTTTATACGTATATGCTTCTAAACTGTTCTATTCTGAGCACCTCTGCAAAAACAGTGATAATGTGTGAGTGTGGTGAAAGTGTTGAATGATGATGAAAGTATTTTCTTTTTGGGGATTTTCTTTCTTTTTTGGGTCATCCTGCCTCGGTGGGAGACGGCCGACTTGTTGAAAAAAAAAAAAAAATATTTTCTAAAAAAATGAATTGTGTAAATTGAGAATGGTTGGGTATCTTACCTTCATAGTGGTGAGGGCCATCACAGTAGTGGGAGCCATGCCACCAAAGGCCAGATCCAGTCGGGCCACCTCACTTGAGCCAGGTTGTAGCCTGACTCGGAAACCCGCATTCACGATAGCTATGTCGTCATCCCGTCGACGTGCCTGCTTGTACCCCAGGAAGTACTCATCCTGTGGAGCAGAATACTCATCCTGAAGAGCAGAGTACACTGTACTCATCCTGACCAAGACATGTGCTTAGTAAGGCAGATAACACACCTGTAGTCATGTGTAAGGTACACAAGTTTTGCTGACATACGGATGCAGTGACACATATCATTATAACAATTTAATGCACAAGGAGCTATGAAAATTCCATCCTATGTTTGCTAATTCGTTGAATATGTCAGCGACAATGGCTACGTCAAATAAGAATCTAAAGAGTGTGAGAAAGGTGCACCAATCAACCTACCTGCTGAGTGTAAGGGATGTGCACTGATCAACCTACCTGCTGAGTGTAGGGGACGTGCACTGATCAACCTACCTACTGAGTGTGAGAGATGTGCACTGATCAACCTACCTGCTGAGTGTAGGGGATGTGCACAGAGAGCAGAACCTCATCAGGCTGGACAATGTTGCGTCTGTAGCCAGTGAAGAAGTGCTGGTCCATCACCACTTGCCGTGCGCCTCTGACTTTTCACATAACAGGACAATGAGTTATAATCATAATTTATTTTTATTTTACATTTATATGAAGCTCTCAACCCATGTGGGCTCCTCAGAGCAAGAGAGAGAGAGAGAGAGAGACTATCTTAGTCTGCAAACAGCGAGACAAGCAATACTGTCGTACCTTGAGTTTACCGTTTTTTTTCTTAAAGCTACATAAAGATGTCTGATTAGTCATTTCATTTTGCTTTCCAAAGCTCTGTTAAATAAATATGAGCTTGGCATCTCTCTCCTCTCAAAGTTTCCAGCAAATATCTTGTGGGGAACACCGAACTTTGGAACACCCTTATTTTAAACAACATAAAGGCAAGTGATTCTTTAAAAACTGTCATTATTATCATCATTGAATTCAGTGATAAACCCAGAAGGATCATACACTTGATAAAGCTCTACATAGAGTGCAATGTTGTCCCAATACAAGTGTCTGCAACCATGTTTTTTTCTTCACGAACTTCCTGCACCATAAATGTAGGTTTAAGACATCTATTTTAGTGTCCAAACATGGCAGTCAATACTCAGTGGTATATACCATATTTTCTGACATACAAGGCGCACGAGTAAATAACATGTGTTTCTAAACAGTTGTAAAGTAATGTTAGTAAACAACTGATAAAGCCTAACCTTGACAATGACCTTGAGCATACAAGGCACACGCTGATTTCCAAGACTTTTTGTGGGGAGAAAACGCACCTTATATGCTGGAAAATATGGTATTTAATGTATTTTTAATAAGCTAGAGTGAGGGTGACCTCTACTGACCTTGGCTGTGGAGTGTAGGATGGAGCCGCAGCCATGAGTAATGGGTTGAGGTCACTAATAGTGTGACCCGGTCATGATGTGCCACCGATGCCTGCAATATCCTCAATTATTATTTATATTTTACTGACCGCAAAAGTCTGGCAGCTTGAACTATGGCAAGGCAAACATTATAACAACAGGTACCCAGTTTTCATAATATTCATCTGATTAGGTATGGTGGCTTGCGCTCACATCCAGCCAATCTGTAGGACCCAGGTTCGATCCCAGCAAGAGTGGAACCCCATACTCGGTACCAGACAACGCATACTCACAGCGGTGTTCCTGATCTGCTTTCCGGCAAACCATCTCAGCATCTCCAGTATGGCCGAGAACACCCGTGTCTGGTATTCTGTTACAGAGAACATTAATCATCAAAGTAGTCTGCAAGCATAGCTGGAGAACACCAGTTTTCTGGTGTTCTCCAACACAGATCATTACTAAACTTCAGAATAATGAGAATATCCATGACTGGTATTTCGTGAATGAAGAATAATAAGAGACCATGTGACTAAACCCGTCCACATGAAAGATAAGTATGGGAAAAAAGTCCTGATTTTTTTTTTTTTTTTTAGCAGTGACAACTCGCAATAATAAATTCAAGTTGGATTACTTGAGATTTGAATGATATAGGAAACTGCTGGTTAAATACTAGAGATGCAGAAGAGTGAATAAAAATGCTAAGGCAACGACCTAATACATAGTAATTTAAATAAAACTAAATTTTTTAAAGGTCACAGTTCCAAACCCCGATAAAGATTTTTTTTTTATTTTCATCCTTTTGGGGGAAGGTTCCCCTGGGGCAACTAATCCAATTTACACAATACCTGGCGCTGACCTACCAACGACCTGGGTTGATGTGTTTGGTGGGAGTATTTTCCCCCAAGGTGGGAGATCACAGGCACCAAAAACAATGCATCTCCTTGACCTGCACTGAAGTGAGCTCCTCCACCCTTGTGGGGGGTTTATCACACAGGGAAAACCGATTCTGAACTTCACCTCAACACCGAAAAGTGGGGAAAAAAAAAAGGGGTAATGTTTTTTAAGTTAAATTCAATCACAGAGCAGTTATGTTTTATTTTCACCAATAATTCAAAAGCAAAATTTATTCAATCACAGAGCACGTTATGTTATTTCACCAATAAAATTCCAAAAAATACAGCCTCTCGAATTCGTTGCTAAGTGAGGAACATACTACATGTATAATGACAGTGAATTTGTGTTAACCATGTTTGATATTGGTTTAATTTTACCTTTGCATCATTACCTGGAGTTTACCTGGAGAGAGTTCTGGGGGTCAACGCCCCTGCGGCCCGGTCTGTGACCAGGCCTCCTGGTGGATCAGAGCCTGATCAACCAGGCTGTTACTGCTGGCTGCACGCAAACCAACGTACGAGCCACAGCCCGGCTGGTCAGGAACCGACTTTAGGTGCTTGTCCAGTGCCAGCTTGAAGACTGCCAGGGGTCTGTTGGTAATCCCCCTTATGTATGCCGGGAGGCAGTTGAACAGTCTCGGGCCCCTGACACTTATTGTATGGTCTCTTAACGTGCTAGTGACACCCCTGCTTTTCATTGGGGGGATGTTGCATCGTCTGCCAAGTCTTTTGCTTTCGTAGTGAGTGATTTTCGTGTGCAAGTTCGGTACTAGTCCCTCTAGGATTTTCCAGGTGTATATAATCATGTATCTCTCCCACCTGCGTTCCAGGGAATAAAGGTTCAGGAACCTCAAGCGCTCCCAGTAATTGAGGTGTTTTATCATTTATAACATTTCTGGTATATTTTTAAATCTTTATACAGTAGTGTACTGTATATAAATAACAAAAAGGCACAATACCGTGACTGGAATGATACACAAATAACCCGCACATAAAAGAGAGAAGCTTACGATGACGTTTTGGTCCGACTTGGAGCATTGACAAAGTCAATGTATGTATGTATATTGAAATAAACAGAATAAAGGAAATCAACTCTAATATACATTATTTAGGTATGAATACTGGTCAGAGCCCATCGTAAGTCTGAGGCGTTGGTAAATGAGTATGTCGCTAAGTGAGGAGAGGCTGTATTATGGGAGTCATCATGTCACCATTATTATCAACAATACAAAGTGGAAAAAACTTTATATACCTATACATACTTAAATAAAAGATGAAAGTCAAAAACACATACTCCTAATATAAACATTAATATACTAAATGTTAACATTTCCCTTAAAAATTAGTGAGTAATGCGCATATTAAGTCTTATATTCACATTATAAAATTACTGCTGGACTCACCCGTGAAGTACTCATCCAGGTCTGCCATGGAGGGTTTGGGGTTGTTTCTAAGGAGTGTGTACATTGACATCACAATGCCTGGGGTGCAGAAACCGCACTGGGAACCGTGGGCTCGAGCAATGCGATCCTGCACAGCGTGTAGACCAGTGGTAGTGGAGCCGATACCTTCTACAGTGGTGACAGCCAGACCATGGACAGAAGCCACAGGGGCCAGGCACGCATTGACTGAGAAGTGCCTGTGGGGCATGACTGCCTATATCACATACGGTGAGACAACAAGAGTTAATGTGGCCACACAGTGGCACATGTTTAATATAACTTAAGTGGAAAAAATAAAGTAGCAAAACACAATACAGAGATATTGTACATGAATGGTACAATACATGTGTTGAATGGTACTACAGTATATGTACAATTCTTTGAAAGAATTAAGGAAAACTGACATCTGGTGCAAAGTGAAAATAGGCAGAAGCAAGGTTAATCCAGACTATGCCAGGTACTTACTTTACTTTGTCCTTGACACGGTCATATTGAGAGAGCATAACTGTGCAGGCACCGCAGCCGCCCTCAGCACACCCAAGCTTCGTGCCGCACAGCCGAACTATCCTGATGTTAAGGAATATATACACCAGTGTCCAGCAGAATCGTTCTCTCTACGGCTTCAAGAGTCAGTACAGTTATACAAGCACTTAGGCCTGATGTAGTTTTTATGCATCAACATGTTTAACTTGGTGTTTGTCTGTGTTTCGTTTAGTCTGGCTTCTTATCTGCTAATCTCACATCAGTCATTACCTACTACTCACATTAGTACTTACTATTCCTCTCATCTAGTACCCACCACTTAAGATAGTTCGTGCTATCTATCTTGGATAGTGCCTTTCTACTGTTACCTAAGTATCCATTTATTTCCGCTCTCTGATGTTACAAAAGGATACGTTTGTTGCGGAGGTAGGTGAGGAGAGTGTACTCTGGGTCCACGTTAGCATCTTCTACCTGTAATGTATGATGTACTCATTAAAACAAACATTCCAGCCATGAAAATGGATGGCAGTACAGTGGTGTTATTACATTAATTATTTGTTGGGTTTAAGGTCTATAGATTACACTTGGTTCATTAAGGATGCAATTCATGTGAACCCAACAAAGACTATTTCTCATCTACATCAATGATCTCCCCAATGCAGCCCAACTCCTTACACCAGTTCTATTTGCAGATGACACTACATGTCTACTCCCATTCAGACCCAGCTGTGCTTGAAAACACTGTAAACAATGAACTGCTAAAGATATATGGTTGTACTACTACTACTACTACTACCACCACCTCTTCCTGCCTATATATAGCCGTCCTGCTCCACTTCTGGTTAGTGTGACTTTGTAAATGGTCCAAGTCGGACCGAAACATCGTCGTAAGCTTCTCTCTTTCATGTGCGGGTTATTTGTGTATGATGACCAACAAACTCACACTTAACATAGAAAAAACTTACTTCATGCTGTTTGGCAACAGAGCCTCAAATATTCAACTCAACATACTGTTAAATGGTTCCCTTATATCAAGACACACGGAGGGCAAATTTCTAGGTCTTCTCCTTCTCAAGGTGGCCTGGTGGCTAAAGCTCCCGCTTCACACACGGAGGGCCCGGGTTCGATTCCCGGCGGGTGGAAACATTCGACACGTTTCCTTACACCTGTTGTCCTGTTCACCTAGCAGCAAATAGGTACTGGGTGTTAGTCGACTGGTGTGGGTCGCATCCTGGGGGACAAGATTAAGGACCCCAATGGAAATAAGTTAGACAGTCCTCGATGACGCACTGACTTTCTTGGGTTATCCTGGGTGGCTAACCCTCCGGGGTTAAAAATCCGAACGAAATCTTATCTCTTATCTTATCCTTGACTGTAATCTTAAATTTCAGTCCCATACCCATCACATAGCCAAGAAAATTTCCAAATCAGTAGGAATCCTTTCCAAGATACACTATTATGTACCACAAACGACTCTCCTTACCTTGTACCACTCTCTAATATATCCATACCTCACCTATGGTATCTGTGCCTGGGGCTCTACCACAGCCAACCACCTTAGACCCTTAATAATCCAACAAAAGGCGGGTGATAACCAGCTCCTGTGCTAGACAGCACACACCACCACTTTTCAAAAGACTCAACTTGCTAAATATACAAGACATACACTCTTATTATTGTGCCTACTACATATACAGAACTTTATTAAACTCTACTGTAAATCCCCCCTAAAACTACTCCTCGACAGTTACAACAGAATGCACAGTTACAATACAAGCCATAAGGCCCTGTTCAACATCCCTTGAGTAAAACTCTCAGTATGCAAGAACGCTATGCACATAAAAGGCCCAAAGATCTGGAACTCGCTAGAGGAACAAGTCAAGGATCCGCAGACAACTTATAAATTTAGGGCTCTGCTAAAAAATCATCTTATTTCACACCTACTGGCTAGTCTTATCATGTGACCTCCTGGCTTTTAATTTTGTCATTCCATAAAATATTACCACCTGCACCATTCCTTGTGTTGCAGTGTCAGCAAGATGGTATAAACCTTGGTAATAAATACCGACAAGTTGGTTTAGAAAGACACGTAAGCAAACACTGACATATTTATTTAGAAAACGTTCGGTCCTTTGGACCTTGATCACTTCTAACAAACAGAGACGATGTAAGGTACGCCTGTGTCCTCCACAGAGACTCCACGGGGCATTTGATGAACTGGAATGAGGCACAACTCGTTCTCACTGAACCAGACCTCAGATGCCGACGGTGCCTAGAAGCCTCACTAATCGCCGTCACCGACACTATAGAACGCAACACTGGAAACTACAAAATTTCAAAAACATTGGCATACATGATACTTAAGCACCACCAACCCAACAACACAGGAGTCACATGATTTCATCGTCTACCCGTCCTCATCATAGGTAGAGGTTGTTTTGTTAAGGACCTGCCTCGCATGGGCCAGTAGGCCTTCCGCAGTGTTCCTCCATTCTTATGTTCTTATGACATTCCTCAGGTCACGTGCGTCACTCACACCTCACTCTCCGCCTATATATATATATATATAATGTCTTTCTACTTCTGTATGAAAGTTAAGACACATTTGCAACATCTGGATATCTTTATTGTAGACGTTTCGCCATCCAGTGGCTTTATCAATACAGATTCTAGGACATAATAGGAAGACAGTAGAACTATATACAAAAGATGAGGTAATCAGTCCCTCAGCCTTGGAGTTAGTGTTCACAGCATCGTGGTGGAGGAGAATCTGGAGCAACGATACGATACGATAGGACTCACAGGTAAGGACCCACGAGGGGCGAGGGGCAAGTGGGGACAGTGCGAAGAATAGACGGTGAGAGGAATGTCTTGAGTTGAAGAGAGAAGAGTCAGGACTAGACCCAACTGTTAAGCCTGGATAAACAGTAACGAAGACGACATAAAAGACAACAGGGACTCTGTGGGAGCTGACTGCAACTGACTGGAAGCACATCAACTTGCAATGACTGGATATGGTTCAGGGACACGTTGCCGCAAAGGCGACGCAAACGCACATTGCAAGCACTTCAGCCCTAAAAAACGCACAAAGACACAGCTATACGGCAATGGCACTTTTAAGTTATTTGAATTTTTAAGCAAAAGTCAGATAATTTATGTGTATTGTGGTGGAGGTGCCGGATCATTCAACGATTGAAAAAGATTTACATCATTATATGCAGTAAAATCTGGAGCAAAGGCAAGAAGACTGGCGGTTATATAGGCGTCAGTGGATAGGGACGGGCAGCAGACGAGGGCCTAGTCACTGGTAGGCGGGATTCCCCAGTGGAAGTAGGTCCTTCCCAAAGAGATGGGTTAGTTGCAGCAGCCGTGAAGAAGGTCTTGTAGATGTCCTCTGAACCAAGATCCATGATGTTGCAGTGTCTGACAAGTTGTGCAAGAAGTGATAAAGGTCCCAGGACCAAAACGTTTTCTAAATAAATGTCATAGTGTTTGCTTACGTGTCTTTCTAAACCAACTTGTCGGTATTTATTACCAAGGTTTATACCACCATTCCTTGTAAATTAGATTTTGTACTAAGTATAGATAAGATTTGTTTAGTTTTAAGTAATAATTACTATGTACTATTATCTTATCTAGTTTTAATTAGTTACTATGTATTAGGACTAGTTTGCCTGAAATGCCTCGGCATGATAGTGGCTATCTTTGTACTTAGCAAATCATTGTAACCTTTACAAAGAAATAAACATTATTATTATTATTATTAAGACGGACGAAGTAATTTCTCGGTGTATATACTCTCAGATAAATTTGCATCCTGGTGTATATAATCTGACACTAGTAATTTTCCCTAATTTCATTTCTAGATATTTTTAAAGTGTGGGGTCTTTTAAACCTTCAACTCAAGACTTAACAATCGATCAATAGTTAGTTAGTTTATTATGTTTATTATGCACCCCATACCCATCCTGTGGGCAGTAGTCAAAAGATTACAGAGGTACATAATTGGTCCAGGGACTGGACTCCAAAGTTTTGATAGCTGAGCAAGTTACAGAGGTAATGAATTCACAATTTACAAAGGTAATGAACTCACAAATTACAAAGGTAATGAACTCCGGGTAGGTCTAGTCACAATCATGACAAGTTACAAAGGTATTTACAGATTACAGAGGTATGTAATGGATCCAGGGACTGGGCCCCAAAGTTTGGATGGCTGAACTAGGTACAAGGTAATGAACTCACAAGTTACAAAGGTAATGAATCCTGTAAGAATGGTTACTTACGTTTATACATGGCTACAATCATGAACAAATTATAGTGTAATGAGCAATTCACACTTCCACACCCGGTCACAACTGTAATGAGTTATTGGTATGGTGCTAATGTTAAAATTGTGAAAATTATGTATCTTACTTATATTAGATCATTGGTTGATTATGCTGTGCCACTACTTGCTCTTGTGTCTGACTGGAAGCTTGGAAGACTGGAAAAACTGCAGAACGAAGCAATGAGGATCATTTTAGGATGCCCTCGTACTGCCAAAATTTTAAATATGCAAAAAGAACTTGATATACAAAGCATCAGAGATCGTGTTACTGAAAGAAATATCCTAATTGGGGTTAATATGCTCAGGCAAGCCCATTCAAACCTCCGCACAGAAGCCCTTCAAACTTTCCTCAGCACTGGTGAACACTCCTCCAGATGGATCGAAAAAACTGGAACCGACCTCCGCATGAATCAGATACATGATCTGTGTCAAGTAAGGCAACAGCGGCACTTCTCCGCTCCATGGGATATTACCCCATTCCAAACTACCATTCCTCCATTTCCCCCAAACTACTTCTTAAATCACAACCAAAGCTTCGCCTTGAAGCCAAACATGATGCCTTAAGCTGTATTGATAACTTTAGTCACACAGCACACACTCTCACAAATTATTTACGTTGATGGTTCTGTTTACCAATCCACTGGTGCAGCTGGTAGTGCTGCTGTTGTCATACAGAGTGATGGCTCTCTTAAAGAAATTGGAGCATGCATCAATAACTGGGCCTCTACCCTTCAAACAGAACTGTTTGCCATACTCCTTGCACTGAAATGCATCCATGTATCTGAGGTTGACACTTTAATTGTAAATGATTCTCTGTCATCCATAAAAGCTCTCAACTTATTAAGTATAAATTGCGGCATGCTTGTGTCAGAAAGGAACGTAGAGCATCATGGCCGACGCGGCAGGTTGTGTAGCAGGCTAGCTACGGGATTTTCAAGGATAGCTTAACAGAACTCAGTGTGAATGCTTTGAGAAGATACCAGAGCAGCGAACGGACATCCCAGTGCATCGTTTCAGCGTAAATAGTTGAAGTGTTGTGCAGTTTTAGGGGGTTTGGTGTTGCTGAGTCAGGACCAGTCAGCGCCTCCCCCCCTCTCCGCTGGGGGGGAGGGGGAGGGCGTGTGTAGTAAACAGTGACCCTCCC